GATTCTATGACCTCAGGGTGCTGCTCATCCACACGGGGAGGTGAAGGGGTCCCCGGATCCCCCCTGCCCTTCCTGGGGCCAGGCAAGGAGGAGAAGAACGAGGCTGCCCCCTGCCCCCCCAGTGAGGTGTCTCGTTCCTGCTGCCCCTCTTGGTGGCTTCCAGGAGGGGACAAGCACAAAGCCAGCCTGGGATGGGAAAGGATAAATGCCAAAGTCCTGAGATTGAAGCATCTCCCCCCTTGCCTAAGGACGCCGTGGAGTCGGGGAATTAGTTTTGTGCTAAGCTCTTCTGTAATGAACAGACACGGGACTGGGGATGGGCGATTGCAGGGCCTTTAATTACGGGCAGAGGCAGCGTGCTCAGCATCACGGGAGCAGGGATTCAAACCCAGTGGATAAAAAAGGAAGGGTTGGGCAGCGGGGCTGTTTGCTGGGAGATGGCTCTCATCAGGAATGATTTTGGGGTGGCCACCGCCAACCTGCAAAGCCTTCTGCACCCTGAGCTCCTGCTTCCTCTCTTGTGTTGACCATGACCCTCCCATCCTGCAGCCCACAGCCCTCAACAGAAACCCGCAGCCAAGCACACCTTCAGCAGCCTGGACCCTCCTTGAGGCCCTTCTGCCAATTTGGGATGCCGTAAGGGCCAGCGGGGCTGCCACGGCTGCTGCTTTCCATAAGAAAAGCCCCAGACCACCACCAAGCCTAGTGCTCATCACCCAACGGGCTGCGATCCTCTCCCCAAAGCCTCTCCCAGCCAGGAAAGCAAAGAACCAAGAGTTTCTGGCCACCTCTGCCCTTGAGGCTTGATGCAGCTCGTGCTCGCAGGCAGGGCTCCCAGCTGCCTTCGCATTTCCCTGCCAAGTCGGGACCGAGGCCGTTTGTCCTCACTGCGGTGGCCAGATGCGGGGCCGGTGATGGATGGGAGCATCGTGTAGGAGCTTCTGCACCGTCACAGCGACTGCTGGCTCTCCCACGGGGTGGAAAATTTTGGGAAGCTATGCTCCACAATCAGCTAAATTGCATCTCCAAGGCCCCAGGATCCAAATCAATAGAGGTGGAGGGGCAGGGAGGTGGGGGAGCAGGCAGTGGGGTGAGGGCGCAACCTGGAGGTGCCCGTGCTCCACCTGGCAGGAGGACGTGGTTCCTTTTTTGCAGCTATAACTCCATTTTTGAGACATTTTTGAGACAGCTCCTGCCAGCCCCAGCTCACCCCAGCTCCAGGTCTGAGCATTGCTTTCCCGGGATGTCTTCCCAAAATCTGGAACAGATCCCCCCAGCTCTCCATGTGCATTTCCCACCCCAGCACATGGGGCTCTGTGCACCACAACAGGCTGGTCCCACAGGCAATGGGGTGTCCCCAGTGCCACCAGGAGTCCCAGCAAGCGTGGCCCAGACAGGGCATGCAGGGGGTGTGCAGAAGCCTGTGGAAAGCTGTGCACGCCGTGAGCCATTTCCTACCCTGCTCATTTTCAGATTTAATGATTATTCCTTTTGGAGAAATGTCTAATGAGCCATGGGGATCCAATTAGATTTCTCTAGTCAGCATTTTGCCTCATTCCTTTCTGTTTAAAGGAAGAAAAAGGAAAAAGAAAAAAAAAAAAAAAAAAAAAGAAAAAAGAACAGCAGCACCAACGTGGAGACAATTAGATCAGTGTCTTCCTAACGAGTCTGTGGCTCCGGTGGAAGCAGCTGGCTGGCAGCAGAGGCAGAAACCAGGCTGCACCCACGCACAAGGGTGCCGAGGGGCTGCTCCACCCCATGCCCCCCCCCCCCCTGCAGGCCCCACAACATCCCCACATCTTCTTTCCATGGCACAGGACAGCAGTGAGCCCATGGGTGCCACAGAGCTTGGCTTCACTGCCTGCACCGTGCGTTTTGCACAGCACCCACATGCATCCCCGGAGCCACACGGGTTTTTTTTCTAAGCACAGCAGCGATCTGGGGCTTTGTGCTGTGGTTCTGCTGGCAGGAGCAGGGCTGATGACAAACTCCAGCCACTCCCCATCCTAAAATGCCCCAGTGTTGATGGGTGTACCCCAGGAGACACCGAGCAGGACAGAAATGGTGATGCTGGGACAAGGAGAGGTGTGAGACCCCACGACATCCATCAAAGCAAGCAGTGCCACGATGCTCACCGTTTATGGGGACAGGGGACAAGAAGGACAGGGTGAGCACTGCCACCACCCAGACCCCGCACACTCCCGGCACCAGCTGAGGCTGCAGAAGCGCTGCCGAGCCCCACGTGCCCAGCCGAGCAGATTTTCCTTGCTGCCTGGGCTATATTTAGCTCCCTGTAAAAGGGGTTAGCGAGCAGCGCTGAAGCCGGTGGCACAGCTAGGAATGTCAATGGAAGAGCAGCCAGGGATAAAAAAAGCCCAAGCCGGGCTCTGGGAGCTTTGCACAAATCCCTGCCGCAGCGGGAAGAGGAGGAGGAGGAGGAGAGGAAGAGGAAGAAGAGGAGGAGGAGGAAGCACCATGCCCCACACAGGTGGCACTCCGTGATGGCCACTCGCTGTCCCCATGCTCGGCAATTCCGGTGATTTTGGCTGGTTTGCTGACCTGGCAGTTCCAGTAACTGGAAGTTACCAGAGCACGAACAACAGACTTTAGCTCTTTTTGCCCATGAAGACATCTTTTCAGATGCTTCATTTATGCTCTGTTAACCCATGCACACCTTTTCTTTTTTTTTTTTTTTCCCCAGACTCTCCTTGCTGCCCTGGGCTGCCCTCCTAGAGCGAAACCTGGGCAGCCTCAGCGGAGCGACTGACTCAGCCCAGGGGTGAGCTCAGCTCAGGAATAACCTTTCCTCTACATCGCCCATGTACCCTGCAAGAAATCAGGGCCTAAACGGGGCTGGAAAATACGAGGAGAGGTCTGACAGAGGAATAGCAAAGTGCTGCTCTCCCTCCGAGGTGACTTTTGGCCCAGATCAGACCTGCAGGAAAACAAACCCGCTGCTTCCCTGCCTGCCTCTGCCTCGTCACCTCCATCCCTCCCCGGGGGGGACCAGCAGAGGGGTGGTGGCTCAGATCAAACACTCCTGAGCCTATTTCCACCCTCTTCTGGGCCTTTCTCCTTAGGAGCAAATATAATTTAGTGGGTGGCAGATGGGGAGCTGCCTGACCCCATCCTCACTGGCTTCGCTCCCCTGATGGATGAAGAAGGGTCTCTCGGGGGCATCAGTGTTTTGTTTCGGGTACCCCCACCAGTGATGCTCGCCCTGCCCACAGGGCTCTGAGCTGGAGGTCTTGCTGCTCACCACAGGACCCAGCTGGTCTGGGTGCTTCTGTCCCTGCTGTCCCTTCACCTCTGCACTGCCCCAGTTTACCCAGACCCCTTGGCCTGGCCATCCTCAGGGGCCCGCAGCGGCAGGGGGGTGGAAATGGGGGCAGCGCTGTAGCTCTCCCCCAGCTCCCCCAGAGCAGAGCATCCCTTGGGGGCACCCAGAAGGGAAAGCCACCCTTGGGTGCTCCAGTGGGGCCTGCGAACCTCTCCAAAACGGGAGTTCCCAAGCGTGCAGAGAGCTGGAGTGGGGGACAGGACCACATCCCCCTGCTCACACCCCAGCGTGGCTCCCTTCCAGCCCTCCCCGAAGAGGAGGCTTCCCCCAGTGTCCCCTCCCAGTCCCCCCAGTGCCCTCTCCCCGCTCCGACTGGTTTCCCAGGGCAAGGGGGTGGCAGCCGCCCCCCTCTCCCTGCGACAGCCGCTGTCACAGCCATCAGGTGCCAGGATAAACATCGCCTCCCGCCGATGCCTGGCCTGAGACTGTTCCAGCGAGGGGAGACAGTCAAGGAGAAAGCAGAGCGTGAGCAGCTAAAAATAGCTAAAAACAGCGGCTGGCGAAGGCTCCCTCCCTGCTGGCAGCGCGGGAGCCGTGCGTCGCCCGTCACCGTGCCCGAGCGGCAGGGCAGGGTGTCCCTGGGCGACCCCAGCACCGTGGGGCACAGCAAATTTGCCTTGTTGGTGGCTGCAGAGACCTGGGAAAGCATCGCTGGTGAGCACCCTGTGCTCCTGCGGCCGGGCCCTGCTGAGCCCCAGGGCTTGCGAGCCCAGCTCAGGACTGAGCTCCCCAGCCCTGGGGGCTCCCCGAGAGCCCGGAGGGGACATTTGGGGCCCGGGGAGGCGTTTTGCTGCTCCTGCCTGCAAATGTGGATTTCTTTGAACCCTCTCTCCTCCCTCACCCCTCTGGCCCAGATGGGGGGGCCGGGTGGGGAGCTCACATCGCCCCCCCCCCGCAGCCCTGCTGCCCCCCAGCCCCACGCGGGTGCCCCAGGAGGGTTCAGCGGCTGGCCCCACTGTCCCCAAACCTGGCTCCACACCCCGGGGAGGTGCAGCCGCCTCACTGCCCGTCCTCACAAAGGGTCTGATCCTGGAAACGGGTCTGGGCTGAAAGGAAAGCACCGAGAGGCAGGGGACGGGGACATCAGCGCCTTCCTTGCCCCCCCCCCCCCCCCCCCGCCTTGACCCGGGGTCGTGGCGACCTCTTTTGTCCCCAGGGCTGCAGCCAAGCACCCACTTCAGGCATAATGGGGCTTTCACCCCTTTTTTCCCATCGGGGCGCCCGGGGGGGGACAAGGGGGGGCTGGCACCCGACCCCTTCCCTTGCCGGGGGGGCAGCGGAGGATGCGCCCAGCCCCGGCGCCGGCATCCCCGGGCGGGCAGCGACCAAGCGCGGGGCCAGCCGGGGGTGGGCTGCGGGGGGGCCCCGGCTCGGGGGGGGGCCCGTCCCCCCCCCCCCCCCCCCCTCCTCCGAGCCTGCCCGGGGCCGGGGGGGTCCCGGCGGGGCCGCGGCAGCCGCGGGGAGGAGGCGGGGAGGGGGCGGCGGGGGGAGGGCGGGGCGGCGGGGGGGGCCCGGTGCTTGGCGGCCCCCCCGTGCCGCGCGTGGGCCGTGCGGGAGGCGGCGGCGGCGGCGGGGACCCGCGGCATTGTGCGGGCGGCTCCGCGCCCTGCGCCCCGGGGGGGGCTGGGGCGGCCCCTCGGCACCGGCACCGGCACCGGCAGCACCGGCAGCAGCCCGGCAGCGGTGTCCAGCACCGGGAGCAGCACCGGGAGCAGCTCCAAGCACCAGGACCCGCACCGGTACCGGCGCCGACATCAGAACCAGTCCTGACAGCAGCAGCAGCACCGGCACCAGTATCCACACTGGTACCAGCATCAGCATCGACACCGGCGTCAGCACCTAGATCAGCACCGGCATCACCATCAGCATCAGTATTAACACCGGCATCACCGTCAGCACCAGCATCAGCACCAGTATCACCATTAGAACCAGTATCACCATTAGAACCAGTATCACCACCATGCACCAGTATCACCACCATGCACCAGTATCACCACCTGCACCAGCATCACCATCACCACCAGTATCAACCCCAACGCCAGTACCGACACCGACGCCGGATCCTGCACGGCCCAGGTGAGCAGCAGCTGGGTGCTGGGTGCGGGTGCTGTGGGTGCAAGGAGGCCCCGAGCCCAGGCTGGGTGCTGGCCCCTCCGAGGCAGCACAGCAGGGCCCTGAGAGGAAGGAGAGGGGGGTGCTCAGGGCATGGCGGTGCTCTGGGGACTGGGGGATGAAAGTTGGCAGCAGGCTGTGGTGCTGAGCAGGGCTTGGTGGTGGCACTCAGGGGTCCGGTGGTGTCCCCCATCCTGCCCGGAGGCTGGTGGCTCCGGGGTGGCTCTGGGTGAGCCGTGGTCAGGCGCTGAGCACGGTTCATCCATCCCGGGGCAGCACCTTGGGCCCATCCTGGCCCCACCACCCCCAGCTCCCTCCTCCTTGGCAGGTCCCGGGCTCACTGCCATCCCCTCCACCCCGCTCCATCCTCACCTCAGGTACCTCCAAGCCCTCTCCAAGCACCCCTGCACCCAGGCTGAGAGCAGGTTCCCCCCTCGGGGACAGGGAGCTGGGGGAGCGCAGGCAGCGGGAGCGCTGGGACAGCCGGCACGGGCTGAGCACCGCTCCCCTGCTCATCCCACGCCTTCCCCTGGGCATCAAGGCATCCCCTCGGGACTGAGGGGTTTCCCCAGGGACAACCCCTCCTTGCTGCCTTCAGGGCAGCACTTTGGCAGGTTGCCCCCGTTACTGCTTGGATCGGGTCCCTTTGGCCCCCAGAGCTGGCTCCTGTCCCTTGGCTGGTGGCAGTGCCACCGAGGGGGCGGCAGGGGCAGGATGGCTGCTTCAGCTGTCCCCTGCCCCCCCAAGGACTCACAGCCTGTGACCTTGGGGCTGTCCGCTGAGCGACACCTCAGCCCTTGCTGTCACGGGGGTGCCCTCCCTGCCCCAATTTGGGGTCCTCGGGAGGTGGCGGGGACACGGGGATGCTCAGGGGAGCGGTGGGAGGTGGCACCACGTCCCCTGCTGCAGGAGCCCAACGTCCTGGTGCCCATGGTCGCAGCCACCAGTGCAGGACAGGGCGCTTTGGGCTGTGGGGTGCTGCCCTCGGTGCTGCCCTGCCTCCACACACACGGTGAAGGACGTCCCATGGTGTCACCGGGACGGGGACGGGGTCCACCACTCGCTCTGACCTTGGCTCCTGGTGCCCGTGTCCCTCAGGCAGGTGGCTCGGGCTCAGCCAAGTCACAGCTGCTCCGGCTCCGCTCCATCACCGCTGACAGCACGGCGCTGGGGATTTCAAACCATGCCTTTGATCCCAGATCTCTCCCCTCCCTGGCTTTCAATCCCTTCCCTGCCAGCTCCCGGGGCCGGGCAGGCAGCGCTGGGGATGGCTCATGCAGCGGGGAATCCCGGAGATGCTCCCAGCACCCACGTAGGGGGAAGCATCCGCAGGCTCAGCCCACCTCCGTGTGATGTCTCCCTTCTCCCTTCCCACCCAAAAGAAACCAAATCTGTCCCCCCGAGGGGATGCTGCCCAGGAACGTGACACATAGGACCCCTGGGATGGTTTCCACCTTCCTTCTTGGGTGAGTTGTGTTGGGAAGGAGAAATCCTGCCAGCTGCCGGGGAGCGGGTGGGCGCACAGCCACAGGGCTGGCACGCACAAAGGGATCCCCAGGAAGCCACAGGTCCCAGTTGCAGCCCGCTGGCCCCACAAGCCATCAGCTGTCTGTGCTCCCCAAAGTGCCCCAAATCCAGGCTCCTGCACGTGCTCTGCTGCTTTGGCACAGCCAAGGAGCCCGCTCCCAGTTCCCAAAGCACCCAGCTGAGCAGCAGCACCTGTGGGCTGAGCGGGGCTCCCCGTGGGGTGATCAGCCCAGCTGGGCCAGGAGCTGGAGTGTTTTTGGGAGCAGTGTCCCCAAAAGTGTCTCTGGATTCAGCAGATCTGGGGATCTGGAGGAAGGGGATCCTGTGGGGCAGGGAGACCTGTGTGGGGCTGGGATGGAGGCAGCAAGCCGGGGAGCCCCACGTGCTCCCTGGATGTGGTGCAAGTGTCAGCGTGGTGCTTGGGGAGGGAGGCACGGCGCATCGCTGCTGGGTGTGCTCACCCCAACCCGGCTGCAGGGAGCAGGGAATGGTCCCCAGCTCCGGGACTGGGAGCACTGTCCCCTCCTGGTGACCACAGCCCATGGCCAGGGGTGTCCAGCACAGCTCCCTGGGGAGGACCCAGCAGCTGCCAGCCCAGTGGGTGCTGGCAGGGAACAAAACTGCAAAGCACCCAACATCTGGGTTACAATGAGCATGGGAATCAGGAGGAGAGGCTGTGAGTGAAAGCAGCATCGGGCTGCAGGAGTGGGGATGAAGAAAGGGGGTTTGCACTGGGAGAGGCTCCGTGTGTCCCCGTCCCCTTGGATCGGGTCCATTGGCTCTGGCAGGAGCAGCTGCTGAAGAGCCATTTGCCAAGGAGGGAGCCTGAAACTGCTAAAGAATGAAACCAATTTAGATGTGGGTGACACGTTTATTATGTAAAATTATAGTTTGTACCGTCGTCAGAGCAGCTAACTAAAGGTTACAGTGGGAGCTGTATTACTGAGGGCTCAATCAATGTAATTACCTCCCATTAGATCACCTTCTTTGCAACTGAGACGTGGTGGAAGGGAAGCTACAGGAAGAAATTCCTGTCCTCACGCTCTGTCCTCCTCCAGACACACGGCTGTGGCCAGCAATTAGAGGTCATTAGCCGGTGGGGGTGTAGGCAGGGCTGGTCTCAAGCCCTGAAAGGCATCAGGGCAAAAGCCCAGGGTGTCCCAGGAGCAGCATCCATCCTTCCCTGGGGTGAGGACATCCCCGGCTGCTTTCAGAGCCCAGGAGCTTTGGGAATGGCCACTCCTGGCCCCGCTGCTTTCGTGTAGGTGGGGAGGAACCCACAGAGGACAGGGGGAAGCAGGGGTGCTGCAGTCTGATGGATAAACGTGATGCCCAGGGGCAAGGAGGCCACTTGGCACCATCAGAATTCATCGATGCAGGGGTGCGATGCCAGTCCTGATAAGGGACGGGGTCAGCATCGTGCCTGGAGGCTGGGAGCAATGATTTCAGCCAGCGTGAGCCCACTGAGCCAAAAACCTTTTGAGGTCCCCATCCCCAGCTCTCGAGAGATGGGGCTTGGTGGGAGACAACACTCACGGTCCTGGGCTCTGCTTTGTGCCACGGGGCCGGGGGCTCGCATGCTGGGATGTGTGTGTGCGTCCTCTGTGACTGCATCCCTGGGTGCCCGACTGGGACACACCCAGAGCCGTGCCCTGTCCTATCAATAGTTGGGAATTATTAAGAAGAGCACTTCTGAGGAGGAACCAGGGAGCATCTCTCATTCGGGATCCCCGGTGCTTCCAGGCCAGCGCAGGCACCCTTCATCTCGCAGGGGCTGCTGCTCTCGCAGGAGATGACTCAATTTTATCAATTTATGAACTTCGAGGAAATCCTGGCTCACAGGTGCTCAGCAGGGCTCTGTTGGGATTAAGCTGCTGAGTTTCCCCCAGGCATTTTTCCTGCCCCAGCCTGGTCCAGCCCAGGTCTGCAGGGAATTTCTGCAGCCTTTGGGGGTGGTACTGCCCCATAGTGTAGGGCACAGACATGAATGTATCGGGGTCTGCAGGGCTGGGGGATGCCTCTGTCTCATGAAGGCACCCAGATTCGTGTTGGCAGCATCTGGGTTTGCCCTTCAGATGCTCAGGGAAGCTTTGAGTTGGGATGTCGGCGAGCGCACGAGCTGGTCTCACTGTTCCCCTCGAGCAGGACTTGCTCTGATTTGTGTTTTCAGCATTATAAGCAAAAGTGACAGTTTATGCAAACAGCCTGGAATCCTGTCTGGAGAGACTCAGGTTGGATTTTTCCTGGCTTTAATGAGGGCATTAAATAGAGCCGAGCTTCGCTGTCAGCCCCGAGCACAGACCCTGGGACGGAGCCACGGAGCAGCACCACAGCGCTCACTGCTCCGCGGGACCTGGTGGATTTCGGCAGCACATCACCGCCTGTGCTCACCTCCGGGGTGGTACCCAGGAGTGGCAGAGGATCAGGAAGATCAGCCTCCCATCTCGGGGCCCCTCATTCTCCCTGATGGCCCCGTACCAGTTCCAGGTGCCAATACTCCAGCAGCCTCCAGCTGGCAGGTGCACACGGAGGAAGGTGGAAGATGCCCACGTAACCAGGGTGTGGTTGGGGTGGAGAAATTCAAGACTGCTGTATTAGCAGGGATGGGAGGGAGCATGCAAGGGGTCTGGAGAGGAAGATCCCCTAGATGTGGTCCTGCCTGCCTGCGGGGAAGGGATGGGGACTGAGGATGGAGCAGGGGGAAGGAAGGAGAGGGTTCCTCCAGGTGAAGCAGAGACACTTTGGCGTGCCCAGAACCGGTGGGGGAGGCAAATCCCCCAAATTCAAGCACAAGCAGGAGCCCTGGAGATAAAGGAGAACAGGTCACGCTGCAAGGATGGGTGTAAAATGGCCAGGCAGCTATTTCTCTCATTTTTCTAATTCTCAGGCTGGGCAGCAGTTGGGGTGAGCTCATGGGGCTGTGGCTTGATGCTTTGGGGCCACACTGGGGCAAAGGCACCAGATCACCTCCCCAAAACCCCGGGACCAATTTGCTGTGGGAGATCTCCAGCTCTCCAAATTGCCTCCAGTGTTTAATTATGGCCAGCTGCTGTTCCAGGCTCCAGGGGCTGCTGGGTGGGCTCAGATCAGCCCCGTTGGGTTTTGCCTCCCACTGATTTTCCTGGCTGATGCTCCCGTTCTCTTCTGATCCGGGGCAGCTCTGTGCTTCCCGGGTTGCAGCCCTCGCTGGTGTTCAATGTTAAGGTTAATGAACCCTTCCCATTTTTAATTGTGCTCATCATCTCCTAATAATCTCAACATCGTGGGGTTGTGGTGGATTTTTGGAGGCTCCTGGTGGGCTGCAGCATTTCCAGCCTTCTGTCCACCAGAGGACACAACGCTGACCCTTTCCTTTGGAGCTAAAGAGTGTGAAAAAAACCTCCTCAAAAGGCAACCCGAGAACCTTACATGGCCCAAACCCACACTTCCAGCTTAGTAAATGATCCGTTAACCACTTAGAACTTAAAAAGGAAAATCCTTATGCCTGTGATTAAATGAATCCCTCTTAAGGGCAAAACTCCACAGCTGAGGCTGTGATGCCCTGGACACCCCGGATCATTTATTTTATGTGCCCTGAGGGGGGGAGTTGTGTTTGGCAGCGACACAGCCAGGATAGGATTTGCCCATCCTTTCTGTTTCCCTGTGTTTTATGATCCTTGGTGCTTCTCATAAAACTCCAGCACTGCCGGGGATGCTCAAGGTGCAGTGTCCCCGTGCCGTGTCCTCCCTCCACCCCACCCAAGCATCCTCAGTTGCAGCCCATCTCTCAGGGGGATTAAAACCTATTTCTGCACCACCCTCCTCTATCCCATTAGGGGCATTACAGCGTGAACCAGCAGCCCCAGGACCTTCCATGTGACTCCCGAAGCCTTTTAAAATAGAGGCCACACTAAGCCTCACAGAAACAGCCCTGCTCAGAGGGGAAATCCCACTGCAGGGCGGAGGCTGGGGTTTATGCAACGTTATTTGCCCTGCAGTGGGGTTAATTCCCTTCCTGTGGGGCTGGGGGAAGCTCTGGGCATGGAGCAGCCATTGGCACCTTGGAGCTTGCTCCTGCAGGAGACACAGCACAGGGTCGGGCAGGATCCAGCCGGGTCCTGAGGGATGTCACGGCACCACGGCACGTTTCTGCAGCGCTGCAGCCAGCGAGAGCCGCGGGGGCTGCCGGGAAGCAGCTTTGATCCAGCCCTGCAGGGCTCCTGTCTGGTGGGATGTGCCTGGCTGGGCAGAGAGAGCTGCGTGTGCGTGTGCATGTGTGTGTGTGTGTGTGTGTGAGCAGCGTGAGGGCACGTGCACTCATGTGTGTGCATGCATTTCTGCACGGTGTGCACGCCTGCACACATCTCTGCATGGGTGTGCACGTGTGCGTGCATCTCCGTGTGTGCACTGCGTTTGTGTGCATGCGTTTGTGCGTGCGTGTGCATGCTTGTGCACACCCTCACGCTCACACCGCCCCGCTGGCCAGGACGTGAGCAGCCAGGCCCTGTTCCCAAATGGTTGCCAGGGTGACACAGCGGGTGCTCCCGCACTGCCAGGGATGCTCCTGCACCAGCTCGGATGCTGCAGCCGTGTGCTGGGGCCGGAGCAGGGCGCTGCTGGGCTGGCAGGCTCCTGCCAGGCAGGGCACGGAGCTGTGGGGTGCTTGGTGTGGGGTGAAAGAGGGGAATTTGGCCACGTGTGGTGGGATGAGAAGTGCTGCGAGCCAGAGGTGACACTGCTCTGGTGCTAACAGCTTCTGGCAGCAGCCCTGGTGCTGATGGAGGGGTGCACACGGGTGCCAGGGTGCACCGTGCATGCACAAACGTGGTCCATGGGGCACCACTCGTGCACACACGTGTGCCAGGCATGCACATACATGTGGCACAGTGCTCCGTGCATGCACATTTATGTGCCAGAGGGTTCCGTGTGTGCAGAGATCCAGCTCAGATCCATATGGACAGTGTACATCCGTGTGCATGCACACATAAATGCACTCACATCCAGCAGCACAGCCTGAGCGCACACACACACACACACACACTGACTCACACACACACAGCCACAAGGTGCCATCGGTCGTGCCCGTTTGCAGCCCCAGCCCCTGCCTTTATCACACCTGCACCTTGCTCCCGTGCCTCGGTTTCCCCATTTGAAAGGGCCCGGGGTTTCTCGTCCGGCCCCGAGGCAGCGCAGGGCTGGATCCTGCCCCGTGACTCACAGCCCGGGTTAATCATTCACCTTCTCCTCGCCCGCAGCCCGAGCTGGGGTCACTCATCCCGCCTGCTCCCACGGACGAGGGGACCGTGACTTGCCGCCTGCCCCAGAGCCGCTCCGAGGGGCACAGCGGTGAGTTTTCCCCGGGGCAGCAGGGCTGGGGGACAGCAGGCAGGGCTCCTGGGCATCGCCTGCTCCCCCCTGGCACAACACCGACTCCAGGAGGGAGGGAAATCCTGAACTCACCCCATGATGCAACACCCAAGGGGAACACGGGCTGGTGGAGGGGCTGCAGGGAGGGGGGACCATGCCCACAAGGTCACCTCCTGTCCCCAGTGCTCGTCTGCAGCTCCAGCCTGCAGAAACCCTTGTGCAAAAGCCCCAAATATTCCTTGGTGCTGAGCAAACCTCCCCAGAGGGCCTGGCAGCGATGTGTGCCGGGCCGGCCAGAGCTGATGTCCCCCAGCTAGCCACCTGGGGGGGTTCAGAGGGGCTGTCTGCAGCAAGAGCCAGCTCCCCAGGGGACATTGGGGGGTTCGTTTTGTGCGTGACCAGGCTGGGGACAGTGCGCCCTTCACTCCTGGCTGAGCAGCCGGTCCCTCGGTGCCCTCTCTGCCTCCATTGTGGTTGCACCTCCCAGCCAGGTGCCACCTCCCTGTCCCCAGCTCTGTTCCCCATCCCTCCCTGCCTCCCTCCCTCTCTGCCACCCCCTTCTGCCCACCACCGAGGTCTCCCTGCCCTTTACTCCCCATCTTGCTTTGGTCCCTGTGAGACATGCAGGAGGAGGGTGCTGGGTGCCACACAGCCTCCCCCCCGAGCCAGGGGCTCTCGCTCACCCTTTCCTCTGCCTCCCACAGGTTGGAGCAGGGGGGGACCCAGCCCGCAGCCCCCATCCCTGTGCAGCCCCTGAGAGCCGCAGGCCGGGGCTCAGAGCAGCACCCAGGGCACTGCGGAGACGCAGCCGGGCCAGGCTGGAGGGCGCCCGGTGAGGATGCTGGATGGGGACTGTGGTGGGGTGGAGGGTCCCGGACCCCTGAGCATCCCCTTCCCCCACATGATGCTGCAACCAGGGCGGCTTCCCGTGCCCAAATCTGCCAGCTGGGCGCTGGGGATGGGGCAGCCCCATGGGGAAGGGCTCGCTGGGTCCCCACCACCCCGCGGGGACGCTGAGCGGAGGGGACGGTGTCTCTCCAGGGCTAGCATGACCGAGGTGGAGCCAGTGCTGGACTTCGCATCCTCCGGGAGGACCGGGCGGCGCAATGCCCTGCCCGACATCCTGGGCTCGCCGGCGGGCGTCAGCCCCTCCGACCTGCCCCTCAAGCTGGCCGAGATGTCCCTGAGCGCAGGTGGGTGCCGGCAGGGCTGGGGGCGACATGGGGGGGACGCAGCGGAGCCGCTCACTGCCCTCCTTCCACCCACTGCAGGCAGCTCCCAGGAGATGCAGTCACCTTCCACGGAGGTGCCCCCACCGCAGCCCCAAAGCCCCGAGCTGAAGGACACGTCCTAACCCCGCTCGGGGCCGCGTTTCTGACCGCCAGGAGAAGGGAGGCCGTGGAGCACCAGCCCAGCTTTCCTGGCACGGCCGGAGCCTGGTGGCCCTCCCTGGGCACCATGCGGCCACCGCATCGCCCGAGCCCCGCGGGAGAGGAGCCACGTGGGGACCTGTGGGGACCAAGGGAAGCTTCACACCCGCGCCGGGCGAGGACGGGGACGTTTGCCCTGCGGGAGGACAGTTTTCTGCCATGGCACGTGGAGGGGTTGCACTGGGGGGGATTTTCTCCTCCTCTCGGCAGCAGCCGTGCCAGGGGGGCTACGCCAGGAGCGTGATGAGCAGCCCGGGGGGGTTTGTCTGAGTGTGTTGTTCACTGTGATGTTTTGGGTACCACGTCCGTGTCCTGTCCTTTTTCCAGTGATCCAAGATCTGTTTTTTGTTTTGTTTTGTTTTGTTTTGTTTTTTACTTTTTTTAATTGAGGATACAGAGGGGGGGCATCAATGGGCTGGAGAACACAGCCCCCCAGCAGCAAGCACCTCGCCAAGGGGTCCCCCATGGAGCTGGGCACCCCAGGGTGCTCCTTGCCCAGGGGGAGATGGGACCTCAGCTCCTCAGCTGCTTCTCCAAGTCCCAGGCACTGGGAGCCCCTCGCAAAGCCATGCTCTGGGAAGGTGACACCCCTGCCATGGGCTGTGGGTGATTTTGGAGGGTGTGAGGCACAGTGATGCTGTTTTGGGCATCCCCAGCCCCGCTCATCGCCCTGTCCCTCCTGCCAGGGCCACCCGCAGCACAGGACGGGCCATGCAGCCTGGCCCCAGGGCTGGTGGCACGGCTGGGACAGGCACCCAAAGCTGTCACTGTGGGACCAGCAAATAAAACCCAAAGCCCAGATCTGCCCAGAGCCGGGGTGGACGAGGGCTGTGCGGGGTGGGTGGCACCCAGAGCCACTGTGGGTGTCTGTGGGCATGGGCACCAGTGTGTGTGGGCACCTTTGTGCACCCATGTGTGGGTGTGGGTATGGGCGGGGGTGTCAGTGTGCAATAAGGCGTGGGTGCCTCTCTGGGTGCCTGTCTGTGTGTGCACAGCCACGTCTCACCATCCCGCTGCCTGGAGGGAAGGCTGGGTGCACATGAGGAGCCCAGGACTGTGCAGATTTGGCACACTGGTGCCCAGGGACAGCACTGGGAGGGGTGGGGCAGGGACAGCCCCTGCTCTGTTTGTCCCCTCCAGGCCTGGCCCCATCCTGTGGCACCAGGAGCGGGGTGTTCAGAGAGCACTGAGCCCCATGGGGGGCGGCTGGTCGACTCCCCAAGGACTGGTTTGGGCAATAAACTGTGCGCATTGTCCCTTGTAGCCACGTGCTGTGTGTTCTCCCTCCCCACGGGGGCTGCTCTCTGTCCTCCCCAGGGGACAGGGGCTCCCGAGGGCAGGGGCTCCCATTCACAGCCCTCCCCGGGGCCCTTGGGTGGAGGCTGAACTTGAGCCCCCGGCTATTTTTGGGTGTCTGCAGTGACACCTTGGGGCCGGGGAAAGGGACCGAGTGTCCCTGGGTCTCACCCAGACCTGGTGGCTTTGTCCCTGATGCCCATCGCTGCGCAGTGCAGGGGCTTGGGGACACCCAGCATCTCCCACCCAGACCCCAAACCCCATGGGCAGAAATTGGGCAGGAGGTGCCTGACCCCCCCAGGCTCTGCCCTCACCCTGGATGTGTCCCCGAGGTGTCAGCCACCCCCACGTGGGGAGACCCAGCAGGGGTTTGGCTCTGGGCTGGGGACACTTTGACCCCAGGACCCCCGGGGCTGTCACCTCAGGGCACCGCTGGCAGGGACAGGGTGGCACAGGAGGCTCGTCCCCCCGTGAGCTGTGACAGCCGAGCCCGGCCGGACGCCCAGTGGGGCAGGGGACACAAAATCCCACTGCCACAGCGATCCCCTGGCACGCTGCAACCGGAGCCTGAGGCAGGGGGGCGCAGGTGGGGCATGCCACGGATGTCACCGGCCCCGTGGGAACAGCGAGGCACGAGTGGGGACCCTGTCCTGGGGGGCAGCACCCACGGGGCTGTAGAAACATAAGCCTGACCCCATGGGGGCTGGGGCCGATTTGGGGGTCCAAAAGGCAGTTAAATAGGAGGTGGGGGGGGAAGCGACGTGGCTCTTCTCATCCCCAGTGTCCCCCCACTGGAGCCCCGCTGTGATCACCCGCATCCTCCCCACGCGGGCACAGAGCAGAGCCGGGGTCACGGCGCCCCCACGGACACCCGGCCCCCCTCCCCGTGCCTCAGTTTCCCCACTGGGGGCTCCCCCCACCCTCAGCACCCAACCGCTGGCAGCGCCCGGCGCCCCCCGCAGCCCCACGCGCGTTCGCGACCGCAGCGTGCAGGGGGGCGCCGTGCCCGGGGGGGGGCCGGGGGGTGCAAGGGGTGGCTGCTGGCAGCGGTGCCCTCCCCGCCGGGGTATTTCTGGAGCCCGTCGCCTCTTCCCCATCATGTGATGGGGACGGTATTTAAGGAGCCGGCGGCGCTGGGCGGCAGCTGCGGGCGCGGCGGCGCGGACGGGGCCGGGGCCAGGGCCAGGGACACGGGGACACGGGGACACGCGCGACCTCGCCATGGTGGAGGCTTTCGTGGGCACCTGGAAGCTGGTGGACACGGCCAATTTCGATGAGTACATGAAGGCGCTGGGTGAGTGGGGGGCTGCGCGGCTCGGCAGCCCGGAAATCGCTTTTTTTTTTTTTTTTTTTTTTTTTTCCCCCTTTCCCCCCCTTTTTTTTTCCTTTTTTTTTTTTCCCTCTTTTTTATTTTATTTTTATTTTTTTATTTTTTATTATCGGTTTTTTTGCTTGCTTGCACGAGCCTCCCCACCGGGGTGTGGCTGAGGGGCTCGCTGCCTTCTGCGGGGCTGTAATGGGAGGAAATAAAAAATAAAATCAAAATAAATCAAAATACAAATGGGAGAGCCCAGCCCGGTGCCGCGCGGGGGAGGGGGGATGGGAGCGGGTGAAGCCCCCCCTGGGCAGCCCCCATCCTCCGGCGGGGGTGCAGGGGGTGCAGGGGGTGCCCCCAGCCCCGGGCAGGGTGAGCCCGCAGCCCTGGAGTGATCCGGGGGGGGACACAGCAGCTGCCCCCCGCCCTGCCCAGCACCAGCGTTGCCAGCTCCTGGTGCAGGATGAGGCCCCTAGAGATGCCAGCACCCCCAGGACCCCCCCTCCTGTCCTCCCCCCCCAGCAGGTTCCCCTGGGGGTGCGGTGGGCAGCAGCCCCGTGCCCCCTCCCAGGAGCGAGCAGCCCAGGGAGGCTCTGGGGCTCTGGGACTCGCACGGCTGCACCCTGCCCCAACGCCTCACCCCCCCCTTTTGCATCATTGTCCCCCCCCCCCAGGCGTGGGCTTCGCCACCAGGCAGATGGCCGGGCTGACCAAACCCACCACCATCATCGAGGTGGCGGGCGACAAGGTGACGGTGAAGACCCAGAGCACCTTCAAGAACACGGAGATCAGCTTCAAGCTGGGCGAGGAGTTCGACGAGACCACGGCCGACGACAGGCACGTCAAGGTGAGGGCTGCGCGCTGCCTCCAGCCTGGGGGTCTCCTTCCCTCCCTCCTTTTTTTTTCCCCGTTGGAGCCGTGGCCCCCAGGGCCCTGCCCTCACCCCTGTGTGCAGCGGGGTTTTTGCGGAAGGCGATGCCGCAACCAGCACCCGGAGCTGCCAAGACGGGTGGCGGTGTTGCAAAAGAGATTCGGGGGCCCCCGTGGGGCTCGCTGGACGCAGAACGCCTTCCTGAGCCGGGGGCCACGGGGAGGAAGGCGCGAGGGCTGGGTGCAGTGGGAGGACGGAGTGAAATGGGGCGAGTGCGAGCAAGGCGGTAGTGCCGGGCAGACAGCTGGCTGCACGCCCCTGTCCTCCGCCTTGCTGCTCCTCTCAGCCCCCCCAGGGCTGCCCCTCCTGCGGGGGGGGACCAGGGCAGCAGCAGAGTGCAGGTCTGGCCCCTGGGAGCTGTTTCCACGCACGGCTTTGACTGTTTATAAGTGCCCTACCTGCTCCGTCTCGTGACGGCTCCGCAGCCAGCGTACGGCCGCTGTGCTCGGGCTGGTGGAAACTATGCTAAAAGCACTTTGGCTGCTGCTGTGTGGCAGGGACGGGTGTAGCAGCCAGGGACGTGCCCTTCAGACGCCCCTCGGCCGGCGGCCAGAGGGCAAACAATAGCGGGGGGGCCGGGGCTGGCAGCCCCCGGGCAGCTGGGCAGGGAGCTGATGTGCCGTGGGGTGCCCCGAGGCCGGGAGCAACCAAGCTGGGGGGGTCCCAAGAGGTGTGGGGTGCGGGGCTGTGGGGTACACCTGGGCTGTGGGGCACTCGAGCTACTGGAACATCTATGCAGTGGGGGCACCCAAACCACGGGGAGACGAACCATGGGGATACCCAAGCCACTTGGGGCCCCAACCCATGGAAGAATCCACGCCATGGGCTGCAGGGACCCAAGCCATGGGGGACAGCGAGGTGCAGGGGGCCCCGTGCAGCATGGGGACACGAGCCATGGGACAAGCCAAGCTCAGTCCCTGGGCACCCGATAGGGTTTGCAAGGGGACGAGAGGCTGCAGGGGCTGGGGCAGCTGGGGACGTGCAGTCCCCTGGGTTGGAGCTGGGAAATGCCACCAGAAGCCCCGCAGTGCCACCGGGCACCGGGGCAGCACCGTGGGGAATGGGGACAGGGCGGGACGGGGCCAGGCAGCCGCTGCCACCGCCCGTGCCGAGCTGCCCCGTGGCACAGCCGAGCCCGCTGTCACGCTAACCTTGGCACCGGCCGGGCTCTTGGGGCTGAGTCAACAGCAGCGGCTGTGCAAACAGCAGCCCGGATGAGCAGGGGCTTGTTCGCCAGCTCGGCCCCCCCCAAAAGCCCTCGCCAGTCTGGGGGGGAGGCAGGGCTCCGGTTCAAAGCACCCACAGCCGTGTGGGTCCCTGCGCCGCCCTTTTGATCTCGCCTCCGGCAGCGGAACCAGCGCGGGAGCGGCTGGGAACAGGTCCTGGTGCCCCAGCTCCAGAGCAGGATGTGGCCCTGGGCGGGGGGGGCAGGGGGGGCAGGGAGGGCAGGGTCACCGCTCGGTGCCCGCGCTGGGGCTCTTGGTGCCCTCCGCTGCGCCGGGGGCAGCCGGGGCCATGACCCAGCTGGAGGCCAGGGCAGGATGCGGCCCGTGGTGTCAAAACCAGGTGGGTGCCAGCACCAGGGCAGGACCCGGGGCTATCGGGAGGCACCCGCAGGAGGAAGCCAGGGCCCAGAGGCCCCCCAGCACTCCTCCAGCTGCGGGGATGGGGCAGCTGGGAGCGGCAGAGCCACGGACACGAGGGTCACGGCGGTTTTGCTCTCTCTCCGCAGTCCGTGGTCACGCTGGATGGAGGCAAACTGGTCCACGTGCAGAAGTGGGAGGGGAAGGAGACATCGCTAGTGCGGGAGCTGAAGGACGGGAAGCTGATTCTGGTAAGGAAATAGAAAGGATTTTAGACCCGGGGCTGCACGAGCCCCCTCTGCACGTGGTGCAGCCCCCGGTGCTCACCTCCCCGCTCCGTCTTTGCCCCCAGACTCTCACCATGGGCAGCGTCGTCTCCACCCGCACCTACGAGAAGGCGACATAGGCGCCGAGCCCAGCTCCCTGCCCGTCACCCGGTGCCGGATCCATCACCGAATTGCCTCTGTCCCCCCGCGCGGCGCACGGCTCGCCGCGGGGCCGGAGCCCTCCGAACCCCTCGGGGCTGCGTCGCCCCGATGCTGCGGTCTCGGGGCTGGTTGGGGTTGGGGTGTTGTGTTTCTTGAATTTTTTTTTTTTTAATGGAAGAACCCACGTGGAAAAATAAAAGCAACGTTGTTACAGCACTGTGACCGGTGTATGTGGGGGAAAAAAAAAAAGGCTTATTGGCACACAAACCCGTATCGCTGTCCCCTTTACCCCTGTGCAGCGTGTGCTGCCTTCTCCCAGGGCATCCATCGGTCTTGCAAACACCTCACCCACAGTTCAACCATCGTGGGGGAAAAGCCCAGCGTCAGCCACTGCCCAACAGACAGGACCCAAACGAGCCCACTTTGGGATAAGAACTGCAGCCCCCGCTGTGCTGCGCACCTGGGGTCTCTGCCACCGCGGCAGCAGTGCCAGATGGACACACAGCCCGGCTTTTTTGGGGGAACATGAGGTAACTCCCGTGGCAGCTCTGCTATAAATTATTCAGGATACAAGCACACGCCATGCCAACAGGAGTGATCTTTCCAGCTGCTGTCTGCCAAAGCATCAGCTGACGTGCCGTGCCCGACCGCAGGGCAGCCAGGGAGTCAAGGTCAAGAGCACACCAGGTCCTGGTGTGGGACGGGAGCAGCCCCAGGGCAGGCTGGGCTGGGGGGGCTCAGGGTCCAAACCCCCACACCCAGCCCAGTCCTGACACGTGGGGATTTGGGCAAGCAGCACTGGAAGGGGCTCGGTTTTAGCAGAGTGCAGGGATGTGGGGTGGCTGAGCCCTCCTGCTGTGTTAGCACTGCATTAGCTGCTGCTAAGGGGTGTGAGGGCACGCTCCCAGTGCCACTCTCACTTCCCTCAGAGCCAGATGCCAGTGATTCAGCCACCCCCCTTCTAAATTTCAAGCACCCGCCCCAGGAAGGGATGAGTTGCACCCTCCAGGCTCCCTCTGAGGTCACGAGGCTGCAGCGAGGGGCTGCAGAGCACAGCGGGGCTGCCCAGCCCTCCGGGCTGCCTTCTCCTGACCCCCAGCTCCAGTTACGAGGCTGACACCATGGTCACGCCTCCAGGTCATAGCCAAAAGGCACCGTGAGCCCCAGCACCTCCAGCACCTGCTCCATGAGGCTTCCTGGGGGGGAAATCACATCCTCACAGCACCCCTAGGGAACCTCTGCAGGCTCTTAACCTCCTCTTAAGACAAGTCATGTCCCCTCCGATGCAGGCAGCACTCAGCTTGGAGCCTGCCCTTTCATCCACTGCTCAAGATGAAGTGTGGGGTGTGCAAAAGAGAGAAAAAAAAAACAGTACAAAGTACAACTGGAGATTTGAGAGATTTATTTTCCATCCTTTACAAAGGCAGCAAATACCCCACAGTTAATGTTTACTTAAAATATCTCCACTCACCAATTTGCTCCTTACTCTCCCACTCTCAATATTTACAGACAAAATGAACGCGGCAGGGGGAGGGTTTGTGTACCAAAACCAAATCATGAATCAACCCCCTCCAGGCAGGGTTAACAACACCTCGAGCTGGGAAAGGGGCAAGTGCAGAGATAGCAGGGCCCTTTCTCAGAGCTGCTCTGCAGGGACAGTGTTGATCAGGGCTGCAATCGGTCCCTGCACTGCTCTGAGCCAGCAGCACGCATGCAGCAGGGCTGGGAGCACGGCCAGGCAGCACAGCTCCACCTCGTACAGGCAGCAGAATCAGGGCTGATGGCACACGGGCTCAAGGCAGCTGCCTGATGCTGTGCGAGGAGCCCGGCAGCTCACCCAGCCGGATGGGAGGCTACAGGACAGGAGAGCTGCTGATGGAGGGGTGCAATCAGCCTCCTGGGGCAGGCATGGCCGCTGGCCTTGATGGGAGAAGTGGCAGCCCACGTCTAAGGTAACAGAAAAACTTACAGCAACATCAACAACTTCAGCAGCACAGGCTGAGTGACTTTGGGAAGAAGGAATCTCCGTGACTTGGTGTGAGGAGCACACCGATTCAGTCCCGCTTGCTCCCAACAGTGTGTTCCAGGGATTCACAACACCAGTGCCCGTCTGCCCGGTCACTCCTTGGCCTTCTTTTTATGCTTCTTTTTCTTCTTCTTCTGAGCCTTGCTGGTCTTCCCCGAGTGCTTGGCCCTCTTGCTGGCTGGCTGAGCCCCATTGCTGTCCGAGTCAGAGCTGTCCGAGTCAGACTCGGAGGACTGCTTGCTCTTGTGCTTCTTTTTCTTCTTCTTCTCCTACGGAACAAAGCAGAACAAAGCCTTACACATGGGAAAACCATCACTTGTGCTCACCGAGCCATGTGCCGTCACGAGAGCCTGAAAAGCTGTGACAGAGCTGAGCCTGTTCTGACACAGGACAACGCCTGCAGCCTCTGCCCCGGCTGGCCTGGACGTAAGCACCTGTGGGAGCCCCCAGCTGCAGCAGGCACTGCACGGCAGGGGTGGGGGTCCCAAAATGCAAACCCCAACCTGAGCACAGCAGGGTCAAGTCACAAGGAGAGCGCCCTTCAGTCTGACTCTGCCTCCAGAGTCAGGGCGTCCTCCATTATTTAAGGCTGCTCCTTTTTATAGAGGCTGGCAGGGTGAGGCCCTTTGCCAGTGAGATGGTTTCTAACCCAGCCAGCTGGAAGCGAGCGCTGTCCCCGCTTCCCCACAGCAGCAGCAGCCCACAGACTGCCAGGAAATGCAATGCTAATGCACTGGAGCACTAACAGAATGGCCTTCTCACTGCAAAGACCAAGCACAGCAGAAAACCCAAGAGGAATGGACTGGAAACCTTGAACCACCCCAGTCACACCTGGGATGCTCTGAGAGAGGGCAGGGACAGCTCCACAGGGCCCCTCAGCCTGAGAGCAGCCATGGCCAGCTGCCTCCCACACCAGCCCTCCTGCCCCCAGGGCACGAAACTGCTTTTTCCAACACCCAGTTTCCCTCAGCCCTCCCTAGAGGAGGGCAGGGATGAGGAAACTGCCCTTTAGCAAGCACCCCCTTTGCACAATCTCAAAAAAAAGTTGCACGCATCCACGTGTGGGCAGGGGTCGGGGCATCACCGAACCCCCAGGCTGTGTTTCTGTGAAGCCCTGAAGCAAAAGCTGCACAGAGCTGGAGAGACCTACCAGTGTGTGCAAAAAGAACACGTGGCGCTGGAATAAACCTTGTACAGAGCTTTGAAAGGGATCCGAACTCTCAATTGAGGCACCTTGCAATGCCACCAAGCACAGATTGCTCTGAAATCAGTATTGCAGCCGTCTCCTGAAATCTCACCAAGGCAGACAGACTTTAACAGCACAGGATGGCAATTTATATCCGTGTAATTAGGCAGCAGTACTGAGGGGAGGGACCTGATCCAGCTGCACAGAGCACGCACACAGCCCAGGCACCAGCAGAAACCAAATGGTCCCGGCACCAGCGGGGAGCAGAGAAGCACAGGGGCACCGCTGTGAGTGCTGCGTGACACCAGGCCTGAGCAGGAGACATCAGCTCTCCCATCCTGGCAGAGGGAGGGACACCCATTTCCAGGAGGTTGCATTAAATGGGGAAACAAATTGCTCAGAAGGCAGCAGCTGGCACGGTCTGCCTTCGGGCATCGACCAGCAAATATCCAGAGCTGAGCACAGGTCAACTCACCTTTCTGTTTCCCTGAATAGCCACAACACTGGCATGTAAACCAGCTCCTGGAGCAAGATGCAAGTCGTCTTCAGGCATTTTTTAGGAAGATGGTTTGAAAAATACATGATCAACTTGAAAAATAAAGGTGTTTTCTCTAACATCCCTTGATTGTGAGAAATAAACTAAAGCAGCATGCAGAGGAGCGTGCCCATGATGTAACATTTTGGGAAGCGCAGCGAGTCTGCCAAGAGCCATAAAGGTTCCAGCAATACTGGCCTCCAACAAGGATCCACTCATTTCTTCCACAGCCACATCAGCAGTGAATAGCAGCCCTCCCCAGCAGATGGGTACAACAAATTATTATTATAGTTCAAGGATGTAAAAAGGACACAAAGAAAGAAGCAAACTAGGGTTTCATGGAGCTGGGATGGGCCAGGGCAGCAACCCATAGCACTGCAAGAGGCTGCGACGGGCTTAGACAACACCAGCAAGGAACACAGCCCAGCAAGCAAAGCTCCTGCTCTGCACCATGCACTGGTGCTTTGCTTGCAGTGAGCCACGTGTGTGCACTAACTGCTCTGGACCTGCACACATAGGTCTGGGCCCTGTTTTCCCAAACATGCTGCAAACCAGCACCCTGTTCTCTGCTACAATAGCTGTGCAGCCAGGTCCAAGTGACACACGTAGCTGTACGGGATGTTTTCTGGCTCCTGTCCCCATACTCACACTTTACCTTTACTCCCTGAACGTTATTTAGACTCCTGTCACTGCCTCATTTAACAAGTCCTGTATTCTCCACACTTGGGCCCCCGAGGAACGGCCTCCCCTGGAAGCACCGAGCTGCAGCGTGGGTTTGTATAAACACAGCTGGAGTGAAAGTGAGCTCATGGAAACAGCCTCACCACAGAGCGTGAGCAAGGAGCCACGGCCAGAGCTGGGCACTGCCTCCGGAAGGCTGAGCTGTCAGCAGCCAGTCTGCTGAGCCTCTGCCAGCAGGTGGGAAAAGCCCAGGGCACTCACCTCACTTCTGGACCAGAAAAAGGAGCCTTGGTGAGCCAGACAATAAGCTGCATTTCCCCCTCACCACCTCTGATTTAAAGAGGCCGAATGATGCCGTTTTGGGAGCACTGCACTGCCCAGGCTTCGGGGAGATGGACAGCTGTCAGACAGCCCCAAACACAACACACTCAGCCTTTGTCACATAGAACATGTTTTACATTCCGCTGGGGAAAGGAGGGTAACAGGAGAAGCCTGGAGCCCCCAAGCCACCAGCTCTGCTGCTGTTCTTTGCCAAGTGTTCCCAGTGACTTCAAGGTCATCCTCGGGCTTGCAGAGTTTTACTGGAAGAGGCTTGCTGTAAGTCACCCCGCCTTGGCAGGGCCGATTGTGCCATTCCATGAGGAAGCCAAAGGCAGCAGCAAGCCCAAAGGCACAGTTGTGCAAGCCCCAGGACAACAGGCAGAATGAGTCCTCTGGGAGGCCTCCCCCTCAGCCAGCAGCACTGTACAGCCCCAGCCAACCCAGCAGAAAGCCAAGGGAGAGAGCAGGAATTCACGGTAAGGTGAAGGGAACAGCAGCAATCAGCCCCAGGTACTTGCACAAAGCCAGAGTGACTCACATGGGCAGGCACTTCCACCTGCTCCAACAGAACCAGGCACCCAGCTGGGCACTGAAGGGCTGAGCCCAGCACTGACACCGATCCTGTGCTCGTCCTGAGTCACTGCACCTCCCTCGGGTGCCTGCAGTGCTGCCCAAGGCTTGCTACGTACCCACCCCACCCAGGGGAAAACACTCACCTCAGCTGAAAACTGGAAACCATTCACCTAAAGACAACTTGCTTCACAGGAGGAAGCCTGGGAAAGGCGCTGAGTGCTCACTCACCCACATGCTGCGAGCTCAGAGCAGCACTCACCCGTCAGAAACAGCTGCCAGGAGCAGCTGCTGAGCACAGCACAAAAAGGGAGGCAAAGATGGGGAGCAAATCCCCTGCGATGATTTCTACATCCCAACCCCGCTGCAGCTGGCTTGAAGGTGCTCAGGCAGCTCACTGAGGCAGGTGAGGTCAGATCCAAGCCCACGCTGCATTTAGGGGTGCTTTTATGGGGTGTTTCTCTCGGTTGCTGGTAGGCCTCCAGTGCCACACCACAACAGACAAGTCATCTTATGGCTGCTTGGGGAAAAAAGTGCCTCAACGCAGAGAAAGCTGGGTTCTCCCCCTCCTCCCCATGAGACATTGCTTCCATTAGCTTCAGCCACTTCCAGGCAAGAGCAGTTTCCATATGAAGATTAATTTACTGGCTTACAGGAAGACAGAAGTCTGTATGTGTTTCATTTAAAACCCACACGCTCTCCTATTACAGCGGGACCCAAGCAGCCCAGCTGAAGACATCAATTTCACATGGGCTGCGTGGTGCAGAACCAGCTACACGCTGCCAGTCCAGGACAAAGAAGGAAGAGAGCTGGTGGCCTATTTAATACCGAGCAGAACGACTCTTTTAGGGAGACAAACTAGCAAAGACAAGGCATGGCATGGAGCTGGGCACTGAGCAGAGTCCTCTGGGACCCAGGGAAGAGAGCAGAGGCTGAGCTGCCTACACACCTGGCAGCCTTCGGGCAGGTGGCAGTTTCTGGAGCCCCACAACAGCTTTACAACAACTGAGTTTTTCTGTGGGACAAAAGCAAGCTCACTGCAAAGTTCCCTGCCCATGCAGCAAGGTTAGGAGCAAAGCACTGTCATCATCTCCTAAAGACTGTGAAGAGTTAAACCTTCCAGGGAAAAGGATGCAGCAAGGAGAATTTTCTCAAGCTTTTGCAGTCTGTGCACATGGTGAGAAAGTCTGAGCAGACCTCAGGCTAAGAGAGCATCATTCCGGAGCTTGGGAAACTTTCTCAGCATGTGAAGGCTGAAGATAAGACAGGATGTCACATCAGGCCCTTCAGGACTACAGGGAGCAGTGCACACGTGGATGTTTTGGGGATGCTTTTCAGCAAAAACACTCCCACCAACACAGGAAAAGACCTTAGGCTACAGGCTTCTCTAAGTGCTGGCACCCCAGCACCGCCAGGCAGGCATCAGCTGCCTTCCTGCGCCTGCTGGGCAGTCACAGCTCTCCAGGAAACACCAGTGTGGGGGTGGGAGCACTTCCCTGGGTTCTACCTCAGTGCCAAAGTTCAAGCCCAAATTCTGCCTTCAGCACTGGCAAAGCCTCCCCACACCCAGAGCTGGGGCCAGGTCTCCAGGAGGGATTGGTGCTGAGGGATGGAGCCAGGCTCAGCTCAGTTCTCAGGCACACCCAGCCACTCCCCCAGCACTGCAAACACTGCATCTGTGTGAACATCCTGAGAGAGTTCTGCCCAGGCAGACTTCAAGTGGAAAGAAAATAAAAAAGTGACACTCAGAGGGGGACAAACTGAGCACAAAGACAATCACAGTTCTTTGCAGGTCCTGCTCAATGTGGTTAACAGCTACAATTCTACCAAAATAGAGCACCAGCTGTTCTGAGATCCCTCAGACACCAGAGCTGTGCTGAGAGCTGAGCTACAGCCCAATAACACTTGCCTACTGCTGTAGGTATTTTGAAGCAGCCCCTACCAAGAGGGCCCACATCAGCCCAGCAGGCTGAAAGTTGCTCAGGGCTGCGTTCTAAGAATGTTACAACAGCTCATTCTTACAACAGCTCATTCCTGCTAGAAGCATTCGATTTTGAGATAAGAGGGGAGTGTCCAGAACTCTCCAAGAAGTATTTTCCACTAGCACTTCGCAGGGTTATGGTTTTATTTAGAAAATTCATGTCTGTCCTTGTGAAAAAGGAGAATAAATTTCCAGATGTATGTCACCTGCATCTCCAGAGAGACACCAGCATTCCTTCTAGGTTTATTCAAAAACAAGCAGTAAAAACAGCAAAAAAATCCACCTCTCAGTTTAATAACAAAAAAGATTAATTATGTAAACCCAACTGTATTATTCCATTTGAGTTTGAATTAATCTGATGAGAAGAATCCAGGCTATGACCATTAAATAAATGCAAAGGTCAGAGACAGATAAGGACATTAAAGGGAAGAGCATATCGTGTGAAGAGCGTGAGCATGACTCTGCCATGCCCTAAGCCAGTGCCACTGAAGAACTAGTAAAACGAGTACTAGCTGCAGGGGAGGACGGATTAAGACTGGATGAGCCACAGGTCACTGAACAAACACTCCACGAGGTGTGGCTTTAAGTGGGGAAAAAACCATGTGCAAGATTTCATGGAAATCTTTCACATGGGAGAAAGAGCAGCAGAGGCTGCAGACAAGCTGTCACAGGTCCCATTTACCACGCACTCCAATGACCATCCCAGAGCTACAGCGGGGCCAGGTTAATCACTGAGCAGACAGGGCACTTTCTGCAGGGGGCAAGTAAGAGGCGCTACTCCTGGTGCTGAAGCAGCAGCCCTGTTCTCAGAAGACAGGAGAGCAGGATCCAAAGGATTTATTTTCTCTCAGCACGCCTCCCTCCTACGCAAGCTCAGCACAGGCACACCGCCGCGTTCCCATAGGAGCTCCTTCACCCAGTGACCCACGGAGTAAAAGCGGAAGGGATGCAGCAACGTGCCTGCACAGCTGTCAAACGCTCCTCAGATGCTCTCTGTACTTCCGCACAGTGCTGTCACAGCGGCAGCTTGGCTTCTGCTGCCAGCCCCTGCCTTCTCACTGACTACTGGAGGCAGGACAGCGCTCCCACATGCCCAGCACTAATGTGGTCACCTGTAAGGAGAAAGATTTGCACCCACTGCCATGCCAGGCGCCTGTTCCAGATGTCCCTTAGAGGCCCAGACAGGAGAAAAGCAGGGAACTGAAGAACTTTGCATCTCCATCGTGGCATGGAATAGATTCCACTGGTACAAAAACTCTTCGGGTCTTAAAGATTATTTCCCCGTGAGTCTTACAAACTCTGTCCATAGCAGCAAACCAGACCTCTCCAAACAGGACCGGTCCAATGCCAGTGCTGGGCAGCCACACAGTGACCAGGCTTAAGCTACCAATGATGGTGACCATGGGGATGGCAAGCAGACAGAACAGGGAGAGCCAGGACCACAGAGCATCTCCATGAGGAGAGGGATCTCTGCGGAGAGGGGAGGGCACCCAGGAACTGCAAGGACACAGAAAATGCTGATAATGAACTACCAGAAGTGTTGGTACTGTAATTATGACACTAAACAGATCCTTGTTAGATAGGAGATAGCAGTTTCCTTGTTTAAAGATATAATTTCTACATCTGTGTTACCAACCTCAGATGGGATGGGGTCAGCAAGGCAGCTGTCACTAGGTAGATTCAGCTACTCCTATCCTGTGCAAACCCTCCCGGTGCTCCAGACAAGCAGGGAAGCACACGGTGGCTCCCAGACAGGATCACAGCAGGCAGCCGAGACAACAAGGGAGCTATTCATTTCAAGGATCCCACATCCTGCCTCCAGAAAGCTCACAAGTTTTGTTTTCCAGTGCTGGAAAACATCTGAAAATGTTTGATCTCCTCCTTGAGAAGGGAGAAGATCAAAGGAAGAAGCAACATTTAAGGGAAGGCTGTTAATCCACAGACAAAAAAAAAATAGTAACAAGTTTAGGACAGTGACCCACATATCCTGTAGTGTCAGTAGGGCAAGAATCCACAGAGAATCCCTGCTCTGGTGGACAGACACTGATACAATCAAGCACTATTTGTGCACCTCCCAGTACAGCTTTTCCCTGTACCATTTAAGTAGCAGTTACACTGCAAGGCAAAGTGAGCCAATACAAGATTAACCATCATTATTCCTAGAGAGAAGAGAACCAGAGGCAGAAGAAGCCAGCCCTGCAGAGGTGTTACCAGCACCCTGCTCTTACACCACACCATGGCAGGACAGAACCAACCCCTGGAGTCCCGAGAGGTCACGGTTAGGTTGGGGTCTGAGAGCCAGCTCAGTTCAATTGCCTGCTTCTGAGATCAGAACAGAAAGAAAAACGTGTACTCTGCATTGCAGAGCAACAACACTCCACAGACAAGCCTGAGACATTCCTGAATAAAAGCCTACGTGCCAGGGACACAAAGAACATCTCAGGATTGAACCAGGTGCCACAACCAAGTGAGACCCCACTCATGACCGGATCAGCTCTTCAGAGCACTACTGGGCAAACAAGAGCTGCAGAGTAAGCACCAGATTAACACCAACTTCGTTTTGCACTGACTCTAGGACAAGCAGGTAAGCCAAAGGCCAGAGGCTAAGGCAAGGAAAGCCGACACACACCCAGCTCCTGTTCTGGTGCGGTCACAACTTACAGTCCCACAGGCAGTACCAGTTACTCCTCTCTCAAGGGTGTACTAAAGTGCCAGAAACCAAATGGTCAGTGAAAAACATGACTGGAAGTCACGATCCGAGTGCTGCCATCAAAATACCCTGACGACTCCTTTCCCTGTAGGCAGCATTTGCAGTCTCCCCCACCAGTACAGTAAGCCTGTAAGAACTAAGCCCTCAGAAGTTCATTCTTGCCAGGGAATTACTGGCACAGTCCTTGTGCCTCTCTTGTGAAAAGGGAGCTACTACTTCTGTTGGTAGAACGCATGCAAGCTCAGCTCCACACTTCATTACCTCTGCCGTTTTCCCCTTCTTCAGCCTAACCTGTTTCTAAATGTTGGAAATCCCACCACCTTTCCTGGCTGCTGCCCCTCTCCAGAAAAGGGGACAGGCCACAGAGCTGAAGAAGGAAAGAAAATTGAAAAGCTCTGGAAGTGTAATTGAGAGCAGGACTCCAGCTGTGAAAGGGGCTGAGAGTCTGTAATTGGAATGCTCACCTCTGTATAATGAGACAGAGCACCAGGCACTCCTGTTTGGGAGTCAGGTCTCCCCTACTTTCTTTTTTTAAACATTAAAACCAACACGCTCTGAAGCCAGAGTTCAAACACCCTCAGAGAGGCAAAACAGAAAAGTTCTCTTACCCTGGAACTTTATAGCTTTATGGCCTGGAAACGGAGCACGCTCCCTGGGCAAACACAAACCCTGATTTTAGCCCAGCACACGCACACATGCCCTGTTCATGGCACACAGCCTGGGTCAGAACGCGCTGCAGCAAGGCAGCAGTGGGTGCTTGGTTCAGATTCAAGGAAGTTGATAGGACAAGAGCAAAGAGACAGAAGAGGGCTATTGACAAGAATCACAGAAATTCAGGAAACCCACAGAAGTTCTACTGAGCCTCACAAACACAAGGAAAAAAATTCCCCTCTCATTATAAAGAAACTATTTTGAAAGCTGTGCATTATTATACATGTATAATAGCACAAAGCCATCTTAGGGACGGTTTAACAAGAATAAAAGGAGGATGTGTAAGAATTACTACTAGAGCCTGTAGAAGAGCTTCCTGTTTTGCTACTGCACATGCACAGACCTGAGCCACTTTCTCAGCCCAGAACTGCCCGCTCCAAACTGTGACATCTGTGATTTACCACAGCGAATCTCAACAGAACAATCCAGCTCACTGTTGCAGGTCAGCAGCAGGGCACCTCATACCTTTTTCCTCTTCTTTGAAGAATCATCAGTCAAGCTGCTCTTTTTGTGTCTTTCACCTGCTGCTGCTGTCACCTCCTCTTCCTCCTCTTCTGGAATCAGGCTATATTTGGTTCCTCCAGGCTGCATGAAACACTCCTTGGCAAAGTGACCTGCAAAACAGTGTTTGAAGCTGCAAACCCTCCTCCCACATGCTTTTTTTTTTTGTGTAGCTGCATTTCAGACACCTGAAGTGCCAACAACCACCTTATTACTGGTCACCTTAAAGAAATCCACACTGTACAGCTTTTGTCCAAGCGTTTCTACTACTTTAACATGCCCTAATTAAACAAGACAAGAGAGCAAGTACAACACACAATTCTGGAGAGATTCACCAGGCAAAGCTGAGGCACTTGTCTGAACAGGGAGATCTGCGTGAGGGCTTAAGCAGAACACTGAAGCACACGGGGAAGGGAGTCAGCTTCTGGGACAGACATCCAGCAGGTGAGATGAAAGCCACAAACACCAAAGCAGTCAGCTCATTCTAGTTCTGGACTTTTTACTCAAGACTTCAAAGCTGAAATAGTGGTGGCAGAAAACGCAGATAGCCAGCATCTGCCTGCCTGTTCGGAGCAGACATCATTAAAAAGCAAACTAGAAATATGCAGAATCTAGCTTAAAGTTTTGGGGTTTCTTTAAAATGGTACTTCAAAGACAGTTATCTACCACTGCACAGACCCACACTGGTGTTTAACAACCACCTTTATAAACCTTCACCAAAATAGCATCAGCTCCAGCTCCACCACTTTATGATAAGAAGTATGGTGCAGCAAGAACTCCATGTATAAAAGACTGCCTCACACCTCAGCAGCTTGCAAAAGTACCACATAAGTCAACTTCTCACTCCTGTAAGAGGCAAAATACAAAACTTATCAGGTAAAAATGCTTAATTGGAGCCCTAAGACAGCTGCTCACAAGCTTGCTGGTTAGTTGGGAATGTGATGTAAAGTTTTTTCCACTGACTTTTCTTACCATCGTTAAATGGCCTGGTGAAGGCATACGTGTACTTCTTAACATGCACAACTGGAATGGAGCCTCAGCAACGAGAGGCTTTAACACGGGAAGAACAGCCTGTAGTCAGAACTGTTCCTTATAGAAATGCCAGGGACACAACTTTAAGAAACAAAAGTCTTTAAGGAGTTTTAGCTCTTTCCTTTGCATAACAAGTGATGGAAAATGTAGCTCTCTTCTAAGAAAGGCACTGCAAAGCAAAATTCAGTCCTTACAAGGCAAGACAAAAGAACAAAACCCTACAAAAACATACCTTTGCAGCCGCATTTCTTACACACAGTGTTCAAGACAGCTTCAAGTGTGATCTTCTGGCTAGTGTAGTCTCTAAACATGCGTTTTTTCCTCTCATCCTGACTGGAGAGAGGAGGAAAACTCCAATTGCAATCCACCCTCACCTCGGTCCTGTGTTTATGTAGATACTCTCAAGACTTTTTCCCCCTCCTAATGTTGCTGTAAGAGCACCACTGAGCTAAATCAAAGAATGAAGCCAACCAACTGTACATTAGAATAAACCACATCATTAAGAGCACATTAGTGTCATCTGCTGCAGCTCTGCCAGCCTCTAAGCAGCACAACCAAGGGAGTTCCTTTACTCAGCCCTCCTCCCAGCCAGAGCATCCCCCAGGGGCTCAGGAGGAACCCCCCTCATCCTCCCAGGAAGGGAGGACGCAGTTCAGTATGGCAGGAGGGCCGGGATTGAAGGCCTGGGAAAGCAGGCAGTAGCAACCTGCCCAACCCACCACCCTGTACTCAGTAGATTTACCTACTCAAGGGCAACATTGTTCGGATCAAGGTCTTTTCCTGTGCCTTGGTTAACAACCTTCATGGAGAGGGAAAGCTTCAGTTTGTCATCCTTCATCTGGAAGATACGGAACAAGAAGAGTTAGTGACAACGATGTTCATTAATACAATCCATCTGGAGGCCTACAGAGAAGGAATGAAGTTATCAGATATAGAAAGACATCTAGATATCTAATATTTCTTTAGGATATAAAAAGGATACTATATGAAAGTGATTTTGTTCTTTCATGCTATAGATACATTAACATCAGAGTAGTCTCATTAACAGCGTCATAAATGGGATAAAATCAAATTATAAATCCCTTCAGATTAACATTCTGCTTTCCATACAACCAAACCTGTGCAAGTTTGGAAGCTTTGCTACAATTCTCAAATAAATCAGCTGCAAGGGATCTGTCAGTCTGGCTGACTCACATCCTGAAAAATGAAGCTATATATGTGTATATGTGAAGCTATGTATGTGTATACATACATCCATCCCTTCTCCCATATCTATGAGACGGGAAACATTCTGAATACCTGTTTTAGAAGCTAGCATCTTCTGAATCTTAATAAGCCCTTGATCACTGCACTTCTAAAGCAGTGCTGTAAAGTGTACATTTTAAGCTTCTCTCACAACTTCCTGCATTTTTACCAACACTGCAATTAAAGGTTTTTGTTTTGTTCACATGTGAGTTCTATGCAGTTATTTGCAGGCAATCAAACAACAAACTCTTCTGTTGTTCACCTCTCCAACACGCTTCTTCCTCTACAACAAAGAGGCCAGGAACCTAACAACTGTTTCAGACAGAAAACAGCTGTTTGATAGAAATTTATACAAACAGCATTAAAAAGAAATGTACGCTGCAGATGGCTACAAAGAATCTGTAAAGCCTTTCATGCATCCCTTCTCTACTGTAAAGGAGACTAAAATGTCCTCAACCCTCTTCCCTTACCTCACACAAAATTAGGTACTGGTTTTGTACATCAACCCCATCATCATCTTTCAAAAAAAAAAAAAAAAACACTCCAAAGACACAAAGAGCTGTGCGGCTCTGCACTGAACGCTTCCACCATGCTCCTGTATAGTCATCTTCCTTTGCTTTCACAGCTCACCAAAGCAAGAGTCTTTAGTCTTTGTTCCAAGTAATCTCTAAATAGAAAGGACGTGCCCATTGTCACATCTATGTAATAAAATGCAGTGTAGGTTGTAGGAAATAAATTCATATACAGATATATATTTAATAATGTCTCTCAAAAAAGATAAAATCCCCTCCTCTTGGGCCTAATCCATTGCCAGTGATGCCCTCCTGAAAAGAACAACAGAAAAAGTCACAGCTTCTAAGAACAGGCCTGTCTCTCACAAGCTATTGAACCCCGTTTACCAGCTTTTATCTTGGGATTCTCCCTAATTGCTCATTTTGCTACCAAATCACACAGCGATGGCTGAGAATGGGTGCATGGAGACAGAAAGGGAAGAATTTTGTTGCTTGCAAGTCAAAAGCTTTTATGAAGTCCCTTTTCCTGAACTCCATTATTGTGAGTCACAGAAACCCCATTCCCGAAGCCACACACGAAGGCAGAACTCAGCCCCTGGTAAAAATCAGTATGTTGTACCCCGACAAAGTGACAAGAACACATGGCCACTGCACGCAGATGTTCATAGTTCATTGTTCTTGCAGTAAACTTTATCACAATGCATTTTATCTACACAGTACCAAAGAAGCAGGAATTAATGTTACCTCTTTTCCAATAACCTTTACCCACACTTTGTCTCCGACATCCACCATCTCCGATGGCTTATCTACCCGGCAGGAAGACATGTGAGTCTTATGAACTAGGCCTGGGCAGAATTTGGGAGGGAAAAAAAAAGAGAATGAATTTTTGCACCATTAACAAATAAAAAATGTAACAGTGTTTATTTCATCTTCAGCTCTTCCTCTCTGAATTTCTGCTTTTGTTCACATTTTATGATGCACAGGAGTAATACAGCACACATCATTTATTAGTCAACATATGTACATTGAGGGTGCACGCTCAAGATTTTTTTTTATGGCTAGAGGTGCACGATCAACAGAACAAAGAGGACATTTCACGCCCCAGTGACACAACGCTGCTGGCAGTGTCAGAAGCATTAAAAACCATGGCTGCCCCGATCTTCTGTTGTGCTTGTGAGGTCACGCAGCCAGAACACTTCATTTCTGATCTGCACAAATAACCCACGCGGGCCACAGGGTTACCAAAAAACTGATAAATATGGAAGCACCTTGCTGCTTTGGCTCATAATTTAAGGCCTGTCTGCACCTCAAAGCAACTTCCCCCAGCAGCCACACTTCTGTCTAAAACCTTTTATTAGAACTGGCACTAAAGTAACTGGGCATGTTAGGATGACAGCAGGGAAGGGGCTAATTGTGGGCTTCCAGCAAATAACAGAACACCAGGCTTAAGCTGCTCCTTCTGTAAAATTAATTTCTTTTACTCTGCAAGTTTCCCACAAGCACGAGCGGACCTTTAAAACATAAATCAGAACAGCTGCCTCATTTGAGCTTTGTTTTAGTTTTCATTAAACTCATTCAAATTGGCAATTAAGGAAACAAGTGGTACAAACCATGAAGCTGTAGAAATTCTCTAGTGCCTATCCCAAGGCCTTGAAATGATTCTCTGAAGTATACCAAAGTTACCAAAAAAAAAAAAAAAAAACACATTTAAAGAGCACCGAGTCTTCTTCAGGCAAACATACCATCTAAATTCTCAAGTTCTGAGAACCTCCATTTCTTCCTTATTTAAATACACTTTTTCTGAGCTTTTTAGGAAATGAGAAGTCTTAATTCTGAAGCTGGCTGTTTGGCTTCTACACATCAGTGTGAAACCAAGCATGAATAAAAGAAACAAACCTTGCTTCCTGCAGCCTGGGATTTTTATAAATGCCCCATATTCTGTCACAGACGCCACCTGTGGAGAAAAGCAACACAACATTTAAAGGAAAGCCCTTCCTAAAACACCTCCTTTCAGAGCACGAGCACAAAAACCCCAAGTGGTTCCCAGCCTTCGGTTGAGTCATCAGAGGTTAGAGAGCAGCACTTGGGAGCTGCAGGGCAGGAAAGCACAGCAGGTGTTTTATGCTCGTGTAACTACGTGTAAACACACAGGAACATACGTTTTAAAACAAGAGGATTATATTTATTTAACCTTAGCGATGTTAGGTGAGCTACAGAAGCAGGAAATATTTCAGAGAAAATTCAGCACTACTTACATTTTCTCTGCAACCCAATTTACACAGTTTTTTGCACAATTCTACAGGCAAGGTAACGCAGCCTCCTGGAGTGAATAAAGAGCTGGGCACCAGCTCCACACCTCCCTGTGACTGCCCAACCATCAGCTCAGGCTGATAAAGCCAAAATACGAGACAGGGAACTGCAAAGCGGCCCTGAGCCCAGTAACGCACACTTAGCCTCCGGTAACAACAAGCCGTTATAATGGTTATAATACACTGGTGTAAAGCATTGTGCAAACCGCCCCCCAGGGCTCCCCCTAACCCCGGGCCCCCCCCGGGGGCTCCCCTCAGGGCCCCCCCGGCTCCCCTCAGGCCCCTGACCTCTCCCTGCAGCACCGCGTACAGCTCGGGCAGCGCCTCCATCCCTGCAGCCTCGCCTCACCGCACGCCAGCAGTACCTTGAGGAGAAGCAGGTGATCAGTTAACGAGTTCGTTAGTTCATTAGCTGGCTCGTTAATTAATTAAGGCGCGAGATCGCCCCCAGCCCCACACCCCTCCGCTCTCCGCCCCCGCCCGCCGCCATTTCGCTGCCCCCGCTCCGCCCTCACCCGCAGGCCCTCCCTTCCGCGCAGCCAATCGCTGAGCTCCATACTAGCAGGCGCCGAGCGCTGCCCAACGGGATCCACCCGTCTTCCGCAGCTCCACCAATCCGCGAAAACGAAACAGCGCCGGGCAGCCCGGCGCCTCTTTGGCGTCACCGCCGCGCGCCGGAGGAGACGTCAGGAGGCGGAGGGCGGGCCTTCCCGCGGCTCTCCGCCAATGGGCGCCGCGGGAGGCGGCGGGGCTGGCCAATGGGGGCCCGGGCGGGCGCGCGCGGCGGGCGGCGATGCTGGAGCAGCAGAAGCGGAAGGGCCCCGCGCCAGGCCCCGCTCCGGGCCCCCCTCCCGGCCCCGGGCCCGGCCCCGGCCCCGACCTCCCGCTTGTCCCCAGCGCCCCCCCCGCCAAGCGGCCCCGCCATGAGGCGCCCGCCGCCGGGGGGGGCGCTGGGGGCGGCGGGCAGGCGGCACCCGGGGCGCTGCTGCAGGCGGTACGGGCTGGGGGGGGCGGGGAGGGGCTGAGGGGGGCCTGAGGGGGGAGCTGGGGGGGGGAGGAAGGGAGATCGGGGGCTGGGGGGGATCGGAGGGGTTGGGGGGATTGGGAGGGGGCTGGGGGAAGGGGGCTCAAGGGGATGGGAGGGGTCGGGGGGCTGGAGGGGTTCAGGGGGAGATGGGGGGGGTTGGGGGCTTCTGGGGGCTGGGGGAGGCTCGGGGCTGGGACGGATCAGGGGGGACAGGGGAAGGGGAAGAGGGGGTGGGGGGGCTGGAGGAAAGGGGGCTGGGGGGGATAGGGGGCTGGGGGGATCGGGGGAGCTGGGGGAAGGGGTCTCAAGGGGATGGGGGGGTTCAGGGGTAGCTGGGGGTGAGGGGGGTTGGGAGGGTTGGGGGGCTCAGGGGGCTGGGAGGGATCCGGGGAGCTGGAGGGATCTGGGGGTACAGGGGAAGGGGGGCTGGGGGGAATCGGGGTGGTGGTGGGGCTGGGGAAGGGGTTGGGGGAGCTGGGGGTGCTCAGGAGGTCGGGGGGGACCGGGGAAAGGAGGGCTGGGATGCTCAGCAGGGTCAGAGAAGGGGGGCTGGGGGGCTTAGAGGGGTCGGGGGAGCTCAGGGGGCATTGGGGGGTTGGGGGGGGCTGCACCTCTTGTTCCTCTGAGCTGTCCCCTCAGGCATTGCCGTTGTCCCCCTGCAGGGCCCGCCGCGCTGCTCCTCGCTGCAGGCGCCCATCATGCTGCTGTCGGGGCACGAGGGGGAGGTGTACTGCTGCAAGTTCCACCCCGGCGGCAACACCCTGGCCTCCGCCGGCTTCGACAGGCTCATCCGTGAGTACGGCAGGGCCGGGGTGCGGTGCTCAGCCCGGGGCTCCCAGGGACAAGAGGGACGTGGAGCTGCTGGAGCCAGGCCAGAGGAGAGCTGTGGAGCTGATGGAGGAGTGGGGCTCCTGTTGGGGGGGGGGCTGGGAGCTGGGCCTGGTTAGCCTGGGAAAGAGGAGGCGGAGGGGAGAGCTCAGCGGTGTGTGTAAATGTCTGAGGGGAGGTGTTGAGGAGATGGAGCCGGTCTCTTTTCAGTTGTGCCTAATGACAGGACAAGAGGCACAAACTGAAGCCCAGGAGGTTCCGGCTCAATGTGAGGGGACGTTTCTTTACTGGGAGGTGGCAGAGCACTGGGACAGGCTGCCCAGAGGGGTTGTGCAGTCTCCTTCTCTGGAGATACCCAGAGCCCACCTGGATGCCGTCCTGTGCAAGGTGCTCGGGGTGATCCTGCTCAGCAGAGGGGCTGGACTGCCTGATCTCCAGAGCTCCCTGCCAACCTCGGCCGTGCTGGGATTGTGATACCTGGCCAGGCCCCGGGGGCTTTCAGCTTGGGGGGGGCTGGCCTCTCCAGCCTTGCGGGTGGCTTCCTTTCAGGCAGCAGCTGGGGTCCTGAGTGTGATGGGTGCAGGGGCAGTGCTGCGGACCCTGCTGAACTCATCGCATCACCCACCTGCCCAGCTCACCGCAGCTCCCAAGGCCCTCGCAGAGGTCGCCGTGGGTCTGTGCTGGACAGCAGCACCCTGCAGGTGCAGTTATTGATGCTTTGGCTTGCTGAGGTGAAGATCTGCTGACTTATCAGTAAAGTCAAGTTGATCTAAAGCTGTAAGTCAGCTCTAAGTGGAGTCTCTTCTGGGGCTCACGTGGTGCTTTACTGCTGTGCATCACCCTGGCTTTGAGGTGGTGGCAGCTGTGGTCATGTGGGAGCTCTGGAGAATCCCTCTGTGCATGTCTACACGCATCGTGCACTTTCACAGAATGGTTTGGGTTGGAAAAGGCCTTAAAAAACATCCAGTTCCAACCCCCTGAGCCCTCTCCCTTTTCTCGTAGTGCTGTGGAACGTCTACGGGGACTGCGATAACTACGCCACCCTGAAGGGGCACAGCGGGGCGGTCATGGAGCTGCACTACAACACGGACGGCAGGTGGGTGGCTCACCGGCACGTTCCTGCCTCAGCCCCCGCTGTTTCTGAGGGAAGGTTTTTCTCTGCTGGCCACAGCCCTTCACAGCCCCTCTGCTCAGCCACTGCCCTCACAGCAAACGCTCGTGCTGTGGCTTTGCTGGGTTAGGAGTGGCGTCTGCTCGAGGCTGAGCAGAGGCCCTGGAACCACCTTCGGCACACGAGTGCCATTGATCTCAGTCCATAGAAACTTGAATATTTGTGTTGGCTGTGTGGGAAACAGCGGTGCTTTGGGGAGGGAAGGAGAACACCTGAGTAATTCAGAATCATCGATTATCCCGAGCTGGAAGGGACCCAGAAGGATCATCAAGTCCAACTCCTGGCACCACATAGGTCTGCCCAGAAGTTCAGACCATGTGACTAAGTGCACAGTCCAAACGCTTCTTAAATTCAGACAGGCTCAGTGCAGTGACTACGTCCCTGGGGAGCTTGTTCCAGTGTGCAACCACCTTCTTGGTGAAGAACCTCTTCCTGATGCCCAGCCTAAACCTCCCCTGCCTCAGCTTAACGCAGTTTTGTCCTTTGGAAGGCTCTTCCGCTACTACGTCTGAAGAAAGAGATGGCCAATCTTTCCTTTTACTTTGAGAACTTCTCCTTTTACTTCCTTAGAACTTTTCAGTAGTCTTGGGACCAGTTTCGTTTAATGTTTCTATCACCAATCTTGGTGAGGGGATCAGGTGCACCCTCAGTGAGTTTGCAGGCAGCAGTTGGGTGGCAGTGTTGGTCTGTTTTGGGTTGGGAAGGTTCTGCAGAGGGAGCTGGACGGGCTGGGCTGATGGGCAGAGTCTGATCTCATGTCCAACAAGGCCAAATGCCAGGTGCTGCGCTTGTGTCACCAGAACCCCACGCAGCAGTATAAGCTTAGAGATGAGTGGCTGGAAAGTTTTCCGTCCAAAAAGGGCCTGGGGGTGCCAGCATCATGCCCAGGTGGCCAAGAAGGCCAACGCCGCCCTGACCCGCATCAGAAATAGTCCCGGGGCCAGCAGGACCAGGGAAGTGGTTGTCCCTCTGTCCTTGGTGCTGGTAGGAGCACACCTCAAGCACCGTGTTCAGTTTTGGTCCCTCACTGCAGAGATGAGCAGTGAAGCTGGTGAAGGGACTAGAAAAGACATGTAAGGAGCAGCTGGGAGAAATGGGGGGGTTTAGGCTGGAGAGAAGGAAGTGGAGCGGAGACTTCATCACTCTACAGCTATCGAGGAGGTTGCTGTAAGGAGGGTGTTGGTCTCTTTTCTCAGGTGGAAAGTATTGGGACATTATGAAACAGTCTAAAGTTGCTCCAGGAGAGTTTTAGCTTGGATATCAGAACGAATTTCTACACAGAAAGAGTGGTTAGGCACTGGAACAGGCTGCCCAGGGAGGTGGCAGAGTCCCCATCCTTGGAGGTATTTGAGACATGTGGCTGTGCACTAAGGGACGTGGTTTGGTGATGGACTTTGTCAGGTGATGGTTGGACTTGCTGATCTGAAGTCTTTTCCAACCTAAGTGTTTCTATAATTCAACGACACATTCCCGCTTGGTATCTCAAGCTTTGATGTCGGGACTAGAGAGTGAGAAAGCTGGGATGGGAGAAATGCTTCTGAAACTGAAGCTCACGGGGATTCTTCTCCACAGCATGCTCTTCTCAGCATCCACAGACAAGACGGTGGCTGTGTGGGACAGCGAGACTGGAGAGAGAGTGAAGAGGCTGAAGGGCCATACCTCGTTCGTTAACTCCTGCTACCCAGCAAGGCGAGGACCCCAGCTTGTCTGTACGGGCAGTGACGATGGGACAGTGAAGGTCAGTGTGTTGTACGGGGAGATAGTCTAGAGTGAAAATTAGGTGGGATCTCTGAAAGAGTTGTTCATCTTCTTCCCATTTAAGTTGGCTAAATTCACACTTTGGTTGCTCTTACAGTTTTGTGATCGAAAGACTTTGATTTAAAAATGAAATTTGCTTGTTCCTTCTGTAATTTTTTTGGATGGGAATTAACAAGATTGATCTACTCAGTGGTACTTTTTCTACTAAATTGTGTTAACAAAACATGAGAAAGGCAAGCAGTTACTGAAATCTTTTATTCAGCCGCCTTCTTTCCTCCTATTCTTGCTTCAAATCAGGAAAGTCACATGCTTTAATCACACCAGCCTTCTACTGTGTTTTTTTTTTATAGAAATCTTTTGAGATCTAAAAGTGAATTTTAGCAGAGTGGTTTGAGTCTCTGCGAAATACATATATGTGCAACTTTCTGTAATTTTATTGTTAAATATCTGTACATAATTTTTATAACCACCGTGTCTCTTTAGCTGTGGGATATCAGGAAAAAAGCAGCCGTCCAGACATTTCAGAACACGTACCAGGTCTTGGCTGTAACCTTCAATGACACCAGCGATCAGATCATATCAGGGGGCATTGACAACGACATTAAGGTATGATGTTTGCGTCCTCCTGTGCCTTTCCAGCCGTGCTCACCTTTTCCATCCCATCAGAAATCACTTGCAGCAGCGTGCAAAATGTCGTGGTGGTCAAGGACAAATGTGGAAGGCCGTTGGTTGATTTTACAGACACAAGAACTGTGCCAGCCTCCTGTGTCCAACCTCTCTCTTGGTCTAAGGCCAAGAAACTCTAAGGGAGTTGTTCCAGGGCTGTTTGCCACGTGACTGGCTGGGCATTCCTGGCCACGCATCTTAGCGCTGCTGTCACACTGGAGCTGACGTGGTATGTGAGCTCTTCTGGCAGTCGGTGCCTCTCCCAGAAGCTCTAGAGCCATATATGAGGTAGGCTAAAGAAAATCTGGTGACACATCCAACTCCCTGCCCTCTGCTCCAGTATGCTGTTGTAATTTAATTTGTCACCTGCTACTGTGGAAAGTTCTTATTTAAGAGCACGCTCAGTGTTTCATTCATTTGGTAGCTGAGATTCTCCTGATAGCTGCACAGCTCAGTCAGTCTTGCTGTCTTCTTAGCCTCAGGCTCCAGTCTTACCTAGGCATGGGGAGCATGTTCTTGTCAGAGGGCCATCGCTAAGTGTAGCACTGAAAGGACATCTGTTCTGACTGCCCCATGAACGGCAGTAACTCTTGGGGAAGGAACAGCATGAAATTTTGGGGGTTTGACAACTGCTGTGCTGTGCCATGGTCAGTGAAATTTGGGAGCTGGGAGAGCTGTAGCCAGATTGAAAGGGATTCCTGCGTGCATGGGGCAGCTGTAATTTAGCTCCTTGCTGCTAACGCAGTTGGACATGTTAAGTAAAAAGCCTTCTAAAGGGCAAATCCTTTTTTTCCTACAACACATAAAATATAGCCGTATATTTTAGCCAGTGAGACCCCACCCAACTGAAATTGAGAGGTGATTTCATCAGATGACTGATCAGTACTTGTATGAAATGGTTGGGAAAGGTATTTCTGATGGTCTTGGCTATCCTTTTGAGCTGACATTTTGTGTCTGCTGTCTGAAAGGTGTGGGACCTTCGCCAGAACAAGCTCACGTACACGATGAGAGGACACGCAGACTCGGTGACAGGCCTCAGTCTGAGTTCAGAAGGCTCTTACCTGCTCTCTAACGCAATGGACAACACAGGTACATCCTACTGAATGTGACAGCGCAGCTGTGCAGACAGCTGTCAGCCCCTGCCCTCTCCTGCTAGCCTTTGGATAGCCGCGTGTATGGCATTTTGGAAGGAACAGCTTGAATTGTTCAGTGTAGAAGAATAAAAGAGTCAGACGTGGGGATGGCTCAGGGGAGATGAGCTCCGCAGATGAAGTTTGAATTCCTGTTGTTGCAGTGATGACAGTTACATTCTTTGCAGAGAGGGAGCAGCTGTATCAGAGGTTTGTCATGTCTTCCAACGGGCAAGAAGGATTTGAGCCTTGGCACAAATTACTTGCACAGGCAGTTGAATGTAATTTTGGTCTTGCTTTTGTCAGGTTGGTTCGGCTGCTTCCTCGCAGCAGGGAATGGCGGTGCTGTTTCCAAACTGTCTCCTGTGTATGGCTGCTCAGTGAAGCAGATCTCTTAGAACTGTGATCACAAAGCATATTATCATAAAGCAAATGCTTGTGTAAGGAGAGGATGGCTCATTTGTGTAATAGTTGTTGGGGATTTTTCCCTTCTCATTGGCAATGGTCTTGATATCATTATAAACCTCTGCATTTTACCTCTCGTATCAAAGCTTCCTGCAAGAGGAAAGCTGCTACCTTCCTTTTGCTTCTGGGGAAACCTATTTATGAAGAGAGCAAGGAATGTGACCGGGTCTCTGATCATTAGCAGCTGACCTTGCCCCCATCCCTCTGCCATCCAGCTAATTACTGTGAGCTCTCTGTTGCAGTTCGCATCTGGGATGTGCGACCATTTGCCCCTAAAGAGAGATGTGTGAAGATTTTCCAGGGGAACGTGCATAATTTTGAAAAGGTGAGTGTACTACAGATTGAGAGAGTATTGTTTATAAAATGCTGCCCCTGCCTATTAAGTTTTCTGTAAATTGTTTTTAAATTCAAGTTTAAACCAGAAAGACTTTAATAGGGATTCAAAGAAAGATTAATGCACAAAGTTGGATTCTAATTAAAGCTGCAGTAACACAATTTCTTAGCTCAGTTCAGCTATAATTAGCTGTAAATTAAGTATTTTCTACATTTTACTATCTACATTGTGTAAAATAACAAGACACTGGATGTTTCCAGCAATAAAATAAAATCTGTAATTACCTTCTTATCTTCCAAAGGGAGATCATTATAGAGGTGCTCGTGATATTTAAAGTCTCTTGGTGATTTTATTTCAAGCAGAAGGGAAAAGCTAAACCTTCCTTTGGAAATGGATCTGTGCACATTTTTTTTATTTTAGAATCTTCTGAGGTGCTCGTGGTCCCCAGATGGAAGTAAAATAGCAGGGGGATCTGCTGACAGGTGAGTTATCGCTGTGTTTCTCTCTTACCATCAGTCCCAAACTGTTCTGCAATCACACCTGAAATGAGCTGGATCATCTCTAAAATTACTGTGAAGAGCCAGAACTGCGCCGAGAGGTGCGAAGACCCAAACAACTCCCTGCAGTCTTCTGCGAGCATTATCTGCAGTGATTGTAGTACTGATGTGTTTATACTGCCTTTGCGTCAGTGGAGGAGCGCTATATGGTTGTAAAATCCTTCTTATTATTGTCAGAAGCCTTCTAGAGAGCTCCAGTACTGCTTTTGTTCAGTCTCTGCGTCCAGCAGATGGACAAGCAGCTGACAGGAGCAGAGCTGGCAGGAGACGGGGTCTCTTGCAGTCGTACCACCCGACCCGTGTGAGACTCTTGTAGAAGCAGGAGTGTAGAGACGTGGTGCGTGGTGCTGGGGTTGTGCTGACCGCAAATACCAGTCTGAGTGCTGCGTGGCAGCTAGCAGGGAGCACCAGTGGTGTTCCGAGGATCATTTGTAATCCTTACTTTAATTAACAAGCGTGAGGAAATAGATCTGACTAAATTAGCATGTATTGGACTTTTAAATCAGAGATTCTGTAAACAGGTTACCAAGGATTAAACTGGGTAGAGGGAGGAAGCCAACAGGGGCTGTGCCAGACACTGAAGGTCGCAGTGAAGGATACAACCCCCACTGGAGCAAATCCAGATGCACTCTCGGTGACATCGAGACAGGAATTCCTGCAGGCCAGAGTCCAAGGCATGGAGCAGCAGTAATCAGCAAATTAATGAGTTTCTGATGGAGGATAGGAAGAACTTGAGTTCTTACTGTCCAGATATAGTGGGGCCGGATGTCACAGCGGGTGGCTGAGACGTGACCCTTCTGTCCAGTCCTGCTGGGCTGCTGCAGCAGTGCACGTGGTGATGAATACCTGCTTGTTAATGCGCCGATGCTGTGGCAGGTCCCAGGGCGGGCAACCTGACACGCTGAAGTGCGGCATGAAATATTGGGCCATTAGGTTAGTCCTGCAGATGCTGCTGTAGCTCTGTGGTCTGACAGCAACTTTGTTGTGAAATTTCATTGTGAAGAGCACACAGTCAGGTCCCAGGGCAGGTTAGATGAGGCCACTCCAAATCTTTCTGCTATCTCTGAGTTTTTAGTTTTTCTTGGAGGAGCATCTGCTGGAAAGGCAAAGCAAGATTAAACATTTCATGTGTCTGGGTAAAAAGTAATTCCCCAAAGTTACTCTGTTTCTCTGCAGAGTGCGTGTGTTTGTGTTGGAGGGACAATTATCTGTTTTTATTTTTTTTTCCTCTGAGCTGTTCAGAAGGTTTATTGTAAAATCAGCTACTTAAAGTGCTTTCCTGCTCTGCCGTGCCATAGAAAATACTTTAGAGCAGAATGCTTTGAGAAGGCATCAGGTACAGCTCTTACCTGCTAGATGAAATAGTTGTGCTTGCAGAAATGCTGCTTTAAATGATGTTCACGACATAAGTGGGATGGTTTCATTTTTCCTTTTCACATGTTTCAAGAAAATCCAAAGAATAGCACCGGCCTGAAAATGAAAGCCTCTAACAAAGCAGCTCTGCTCTGTGTTGCTGTCGGTGTCCTCTCTGCCTTACCAGCCAGTGCTGTGAGGGATTCAGTGCTTTTTTTGGGCAGCGATGAAGCAGACTTTTGTTCCAACCAGAAGAGAGGCCTAATTGTAAAAACAAATCTTGTCCTTCATAAGATCTGCAACGCCCTGTCAAAGCGAAGGAGCGGGAGAGGTGAAGTGGAGGCACTCCCTGCTGGTGGCACCGGTCCCAGCTTGGCACTCAGAGCTTGGGTTACGTGCGGGGCCGGCAGAGGGCCGCTGATCCCAAGCACGTTTGAATTCAGGCGGCAGAGACGTGGTGATGCACAGTGGCGTTTGCAGCAACCTGCCCTTGGAGGAAATGTAACGTTATAGATTGCTTTTACACATTTTACTCTCGCCTGGTTGTCCCTCGTGCCCTCACCCTCTGCAGCGTCCCCTGTAAGCGAGGACAGCGATGCCTCTGGAGCGTGAGGGCAGCAGAGCTGCTCACCGTGCTGAGCCGGCCAATTACTGCTCTGCCCCTCTCTTCATCTGCCCCCTGACAGGTTTTGTTTTAGATGCCAGTCACCTACCTAAAGAGCAAAGCGAGAAGGCAGTATGAGCGTAATCCAGCACTGGCAGCTTTCCCAAGCTGCTGATTTTTCTGAAGAGCTGTGAACCTTGTAACAAATGACATTTCGTGTGGTGAAGCTGTTAAGTTTGGAAAGGAGGCTGTGCGGGTGGAATACAGCGTCACCTCGCCTGGCTGTAGTGCATTTCTCAGAGCTCTTCCCATTTTGATTTATAAAAAAAGCCTCTCACTCCTACGGAAGCTCTCCGGAATGGGTCAGAGCATCGCTTTGTTCCCCGGTGGAACAAGTGCTGGCTGCCAGGTGGCCGCCGCACCATGCAGGCAGTGACGGACACCCACGGGGGACAGGCTGTGTTCTGTGGCTAGCAGAAAGGTGCTGTTTTCCCCCCTCAGAGACCATTGATAAGAACAGTCTGAGAGCTGCGTGGTGCCTGGTGCCAGCAGTTTATTTCTGACCCGCTGCGTGAGGAGCGCCGGTGTCTCGGCGCTGTCCTTCAGCCAAGGTGAGGCACGCGGGCAGCACCCGGCTGCGGTGCGGCGCAGGGACCCGGAGGAGATCAATCAAAGGGCTCGATGCAATCTGATCAGCCCCCTAATAAATGCTGGGAAGTGAATTATGACTTTAATGGCCCAGCAGGAAGAAATCCATATATACAGGTTGTTGGCTGGGAAGGGTCGCATTGTAGTGGGGACTGGGGGGGAGCACCCAGGCTCCTCCTAAGCACTTGTCTGCCTGAACTGGGAGCAGCCCTGGGCTTGCAGGCAGGTATTTGCAAGAGTAAGAGGTGTCCTCCCCTCTCCTGATGCTTCTTTTTGTCCCTTAGCCCGCTGTATGGCTGCGGTGCCGAGGGTCTCTGTGGCCTCATCCATCTCCGTGCCGCAATGGATGAGATGGTGCCGCAGTGCTGTGACAGCAGAGGCTTTTAGCACAGAGCTGGCATGTTAGCTCCTACCTGCTCAGACCTTTGCTCTTCTGAATTCAGCAGTGCAGCGTTTTGCTCCTGACAGGCTCCTTGTTTATCCACGCTAACAGCTGTGGTTATTACAGCCTGGGTGGTGAACCGTTGCAGGAAGCAGCCGTTGGTGTGGGAGGCGGCTGCTCTCCCTTTACGAATGCCTGCTCTCATAATGACTCTCTTGTAGGTTCGTCTACGTGTGGGACACCACATCCAGGAGGATTTTGTACAAGCTGCCAGGCCACGCTGGGTCGGTGAACGAACTGGCTTTCCATCCAGAGGAGCCTATCAGTAAGTCGTTCCCAAATCAAGTCACCTGGGGAAATAGTTCCAGGGCTGGCTGAACTGGTCCTCCAGAAAACAGCTCAAAAACTGGCCAGGAGCCCTGAGTGTCAGAGACAGACCTGGGGGAAGGTGTTATCCGTAGCTCAGGGCTACAAAGGGAATCCGTTGCAGGCATCCGTTGGAGCTGGGCCCTGGGGACCTGGGCTGGGTGAGGAGGCTCTACCCGTGTGTCCTGCCCAGATGGAGACCTGGGTGAGCAGCAGTGCAGCTCTGGCCTGTGGTGGTATGGCCTGTTCATGAGCTGAGGGTGACCATCAGCTACTGCTACAGTCCAGGACTTCGCAGAGGCCATGGAAAAATACTTTTGGTACTAGGGTTTGTTGTAACCATAAATCTACTGATCACATCATGACAGTTATAGAAACCTGGAAGTATGTGTTCAGCCCAGGGTCTCTAACTTTCACAGAAGGTGTAAGAAGCAAACAAGGCTCTTTGTGCAGCCCTTTTTATCGCCACTCCATAAACATCCTGCTCCAGGGTGCAGGGGTGGCACTACGTACCACTGGTGGATGAGGAGATGCTCTCAGTGGCATTTTTGGAGCTCTTTCAATCACGGAGCATTAGCTGAGACCAGCCTTGGTACCGGTTCCTCAGCGCAGTTTGTGGCCTGGGCAGGACCGTGGGGCACTGTTTGTTTCTATAGAAACACTTGCACCATCCGCCAGGTCACCACACTGCTTCGGCCAAAAATTGACACAAGTCAGCCCTGAAGCGAAGCCAAGAGCTCAGTGGTGCCGAGGATGACAGTCTCTGCAGCAGCCTGGGGGTGGGGATTCAGGGCAGTGAATTATGGGCTTGTTCCTTGGTTATTCATTGCTCTGTCTTCAGATCAGAGACAGTGCTGGAAGAGCAGAGCAATCTCTGCTCTTCAGTTTGGAGCGGATTGTTTGTAATTGTATTCCACTGAGCTCCTTTTTGTGAATCAATCACTCATCTTAAAGTAAAAATTAAAAACCCATCCACTCATTGCACGTGAGTTCAGCGGCTGATTCCTGTTAACATCTGGGGCCGTTAATCCTGTAAGTCGCTCCACCCACCCCACAACACTCAACTGCGTGGAAGGACGCCCAGAGAGCACGATTACAGACACCAGCCTGCGAGCTTCACGCAAAGCCCCCCAGGTCTTGCATGGACTTGAATGAAACAGTTGTCAGTGTCGAAAACAGCGCTTCTCTGATGGCGTTGTCATTACCTCGACGCTTGGGTGTTGAATCTGCTCAACAGCCTGTTCTGAATTAGGGCTGCTCAGTGTCTCGTTACAGCAGAGAGCCAACTGCAGTTTGCCGCTCTTCTGATAAATAATAACAACCCGACCGAGCTTTCCCAGCGAGCCTGTGCCCTCTAGTGGCGTGTGGTCCTGCTGGCCGCGCCTGAGTCGCAATCTGAACACTCCTCGCAGAGAAAATAACACTGCAGGATATTTGAGAGCATTAACAGTGTGTTTATGTGCCTCTCTTTACTGTTTTAATGCGTAGACATTACAGGCGGCGTGCCTTTATGTCTGTCTTGGGAGAGGGGAACGGCAGCCAGAACGTGCAGCGTGTGGTTAGGTGTCAGAGTAGTAATCCAATGAAGCATTTTTGGGGAGCAAATGAAATTTGGCTTTACAGATAGCTCACAGTGAGAGAAATGAGTAGTTAAATCCAAATGGTTTGCCATTAGTGCAGTTCTCAGGCTGTTCTGTTTAATTTTTGTATTCGTCTCTTCCCTTCCTCCTCTCTCTCGCAGTACTCTCTGCATCCAGTGACAAACGGCTGTATATGGGGGAGATCCAGTGAAGCTGAGAAATGGTGTGATTCGTGCCCTTGAAGTCTTTGGTTTACAGAAGTAGGATTGACTTGCTTCTCACCGGTGCCAGCCCCCTCTCACACTTGCGGTAATGGGAAAATGTTGAAGCAGCTTGATGAGCCAAGCAGCCCTCTCTGCAGGCTGCGATGTCTGCGTGGTCCTGCTGTACAGCTTGTTGGTTTTTTTTTGTTTTGTTTTCCCTTCTTTGGGAAGCAGGAAAATTTAGAATTGAAGAGATTTTGATTTTGGCTGTACAACAGACTACTAAACCTTACTCAGATCACCTGAAATTTGTACAATTTGTTGAAATTCCATCTGTGGCTTGTATATTCCCTGTCCAGTTTCTCTTGGTTGTTTTTATATGGTCAAAACTGAAATAGACAGCTTTTTACAAGAACTGTGTGGATGGTATTTATTGTTCTGTTTTACTTTTCTATTGTACAGTGCTAAATCAAGGCCCACACTCATATATAACCCAGGGAAGCCATATACTTTAACTTCAGAAGAGCAGCTTTATTTTTTATTCATGGCAATAAAAATGACCACACTGGAAATAATTATCAGGCTACTGCTGAATCCTATTTTCTTGTTTTGAGCAGAACCAGCCTTCTGCTATAAATAAACGTAAAAGGAGGGACTTCTATGGCACGCACAGTGTATTCAGGGCTCAGCAGTGGAGGAACCAGCCTGGTTGCCTTTCTCTTTGCCCTGGCTGAGCAGCAGGGACGGTAGCAGGCCCTCAGGCAGGTTTGATGAATGTTACGGATTTACCATGGTGGACATCAGGACTTGCAATGGGAGGAGACAATTTCCCTTCTAGAAATTTAAGTTCATTCCCCACTGGTTTGTCCCCATCCTTCAGCTGGGTGTCCCATGTAGTCTGCCCATTTCCAAAGGCTCAGCCTCCCTGGAAGGGACCTGCAGGGCCTGGACGATATCAGGCACACAATAACAGGCACAAACACCTCCAACCTTGATACCCGTGGCTGATTGCTGGGACAACGTGGGGTGAGCACACCTTGCATCAGCTCAAGAGGAGCTTTTGGGGCTGCCTCTGCCTCATCGTGCCCTGCGTGCCACTGAACACAGCCGCAGGGTCTCTGTGAGCACTCCCAGCAGAGAGAGGTTCCCCGTGCTGCAAGGGGTTTTCTGATGTTAATTAACTGGCCTTGAGTACACGCTGCCTTCCTGTTCTGCACGTGTCCATCTCAGCTTCCAGCTGTTAGACTTCTCATCCTTTTCCCCCTTCTTTTTTCCTCCTTGTGCTGCCGTGGCTCAGATGTTGCTCACATCTCACTGGCTTTCTGCCTTGTCCCAGGGGAGGGCTGCAGTTCGGGTGGGATGAGGAAGAGCGAGCACAGGATGCTTCCATGCCAGCTGTAGGACTGGCCTGTGCAGTCTCGGTGTGATCAGGAGGAGGCCTTTGCTGCACCCACCAGATATTTAGGAGGAGGAAAATTGGTGCGCTTTGCACAGCAAAAAGGGAAGAGCCACAAACACGTTCTGAGCATTTCTTGCCCCTACTCTCCCCACTGTGGGGAGAGGAGAAAGGCTGGAGGTTGGCATGCCTGGGGCCAGAATGGATGGAGCAACTTTTAAGGAGGTTTGGAAACGTGGCTGCAGCTCCCAGAAGGCAAGGTGAGCCTGTCCCCTGGTGTGGGGTGTTTGGGTGTGTGATGCTCCCCTAGCCCCACCACCTGGAGCGGTTCCTGTCCCGGTGTTGTGTCCTTCAGCTGGCTGCTGCCGGCTGCCCACAGCCCTCGGGAACACAGGAAACCATCTGTGGCAGTGTCCCCTTCAGGGGCCCTCTCTGCAGCTGGGTTGAAGGATTCAAGCATCGGGTCCGGACTCAGCAGAGCTCCAGGTTCACTTCCCATCACCTCCCAAGACCGAATTGGTCTGATCCTGGTGCGTTTTCAGCCTCCACCTCCCAACGCTCCCCTGACTCCCAGCAGGGACGACTCAGCCCGGCCAAACCTTCCTGGCCACAGGACCCGGGTCTGGACCCGGCTCTGCTGCACCCCAGGACCCTGCGGGTGTCCTCGCAAAGCTGCTGCTGTCCCGACCGTGGGCTGTCCCCGCGGGGGGACCCGGCAGAGGCCAGGGCTGGGGAGGGGACGGTGCAGCCAGGGGAGGACCTGTCGCCGGTGGTGGTGAGTGAATGCGTGTGAACACGAACAAATCACCCTCCAGCTGAAGAGCCAGGCGGAGAGAGCTGGAGGCAGGGGAAGATTTATTTTTAACTCTGCGGAGTATTAAATAACATGCCCTGAAACGCATGTAAATGAGAGCTGGGGATCGAGCTGGGAGCGCGGGGGCTCAGGCCAGCCCTTCCCGGAGCCACCCCGGCAGTGACACCGCAGTGACACCGCACCTCTGTCCCCTGGCTGGGGCTGCCCGGCCAGGACGTGCAGGCACTGGCAGTTAGTGCTTAACAGACCTTATTACAATCCTCAGAGGGTTTCTTGCTTTATTTGAACGTATGCCCAAGTGTCAGAGGGAAGAGAGACTCTTGGGGCTTAGCTGGTGGTGACAAGATAATAACTGCTTTTTTTCCTGGCTCGTGTTTGTTTTAAAAAAATAAAGGAAGAGTGCTGTGTTTTGTTTTTTTTTTCCTAATTAGCAACCCAGGAACCTGCAGTGAAGCCAAGGAGGGGGCATCTCTTTCCCCCTGCCCCAAGTCCCTGATTTTGCTGTGTTGCTGGGGCCTCCCAGTGACGCTGTGCTGGGAGGGGGAGCCCCGCCGCCTCCTCCCGCATCCCCGCCTCGTGCCCACCTCGTGCCTGGATGCGGCCGGCTGCTTCCACCCACCTCGGCCTCCAGGATGAGCAACGCTGCCAAGGCTCGCTGCTGGCTCCAGCTCTGCCTGAGGAGAGGAAAGGGAAGAGGAAAGCAGCTGATGGTGGACGGATCCACTCTGCAGCCGTGACCCAGATCAGGGAAATGATCTGGATTAACACTAATCCCCCTGCCCCAAGGGGGCAGCCAGGGCAGAGCAAGCTCTGCAGTGGGGCCGGTTTACTCTGTTTTCCTAAAAACAGACTGGGAGAGCCCAACGGTATCACCCAAACATGAGCAAATCCATTGCACAAGTGAGTGCCCCTCTCCTGCAACCCCTGGGGGGTCCCTGCGCCCATCCGAGTGCTGCAGGATAAATCAGTGCAGTGCTGGGGGCCGTGCTGCTCAACCAAACAGCCGACACCAACAGAGGGTGAAGAGGGAGACGCAGGCGGCCGCAGATCTGAATTACTGCTGCCAATTACCATCTGCAATTAGGGCCCAGTTCCCTGCGTCGGGGAGGTGGGAGATGAATCGGAGCGTTTGCCCATACCCTGGCCCCTGGAGAGAGCCGAGAGTTGATTTAGGAGCGGCACCCACCTGCTGGTAATGGGACACGCGCTCAGCGAGCCGTGACTATGGCCCCGTCCTAACAATTTGTGGATTTAATCTAATTTGCTGAGGGGGTTGGAAGGGTGGCGAGTTAATGGGGGTTCTCGCTGCTAACAGCCCCCCGAGGGGCACTTGGAGCCGAGCAGCTTTCACACGCTGCAGAGCCAAATCCCTGCACCAGCGAGCACGGCCACAGCCCCGCGCCACCTCCGGGGAGGTCCAGCCCCAAGGCTTGGTGCTGGCCCCTGGGGACCCATGGGGCTGGAACTTCACGTGGGGCTGGCTGGGACACAACCATGGCAAATCCCTCCCGTGCAAAGGGCTTGCAGCTGGCTGAGCCCTGCCATGCACACTCATGCAGGCACACATGTGCGTGCACACCCAGCCATGCACACCCATGCACACACATACGGGCACTCGCAGATGGTTTCTCCACACCAGAGCATCATGAGCTGCGGGGCACTACAGCAGAAAGCCATTAAAGGCGTAATCCGGGCACGGAGAAAATTGTTTTCTTAAACAGGTTTATTCCTCCGAGGGACGTATTTGCTTGAGAGATTTCCTCTATAAATTAAATCTGTCCCATGATCCAGATAAACGCCTGCGAGCCCTGCTGCCTGCCTTTGCACGGCACGGCTCTCCCCATCCCTGTCCCCATCCCGTGTCCTCCTGCACAGGCACTCCTGGACAGAGACAGATATGGGACATCTGGAGCACCACAACATGTCCCAGCTTGGGACACGGGGCCGGATCCTGCACCGGGTGCTGCTGAGCCCTGCATTGGGCATGACCTGGGCACCCCCAGCAGTGGCACAGAGCCGCGGGCAGCCCCGAGCCTGCCGCCCCCTTTCCATCCCCACCTGCCTCACTAATTGCTGCCCTGTCTTTCCACCAGTGCTTTTCACACCTTTTCCCATTGCTGCTCAGAGGCTCATAATGAATTTTGATAGTTACAATACGCAAGTGATAATTTCTAAAAGAATGGAAAACAATTATTTGCTCTGTTGGGGGATTAGATGATATTTAGTCTCTATTTAATGGAAAACTAATTAAATTACATGAGAAACTGAATAGAATTTTTTTGTTAATTATGAATATTGCAAGCTACAAAGGCTAAATGATGATGGATTCTGTAATCTGCCGTGCTTTTAGCTAGACACTGAGATAAGATGACAACTGAGAAAGAATGGGAAGAATGCATTTTAATTTCTATATCGATTCAATAACAGCCGGCTGAACAATGATCCGTTAATGGTGATCTGCAGGAGCTGATGTTGACTGGCAGGCTGACGGGTAATTATGTTAAAACTGGGGAAACAGTGGTTAAATAGATGTGCGCTTACTCCTGGAGGAGGCTGGGGAAGCCGCAGTGCCCCGTGTGCTGAGCTTCCCTTGGGTTTGCCCCATCGTGTCCCTTCCCTTTGCCCCACACAGGCAGGGTGGGGGACGTGCTCCTTCATCAATGCCCGGTGTCCCCTGGGGGGCCACATCGGGATTTGGGGCAGGGTGAAACGAGGAGGAAGCGGTTCAGGGTCCAGGCCAGCTGCAGTGCTGATATCTGTGCTGGAGGTCCTGAGCTCGATGCCCAGATTTGGGCTCTCCATCACAGGCAGCATCCCGGCCCCTGGTGCTGGAGCATCCCTGATCCATCCCACAACTGGGACATCCCTGATCCTGGGGCTGGAACATCTCCAATCCCATGGCTGGAACATCCCTGACCCCTTGGCTGGAACATCCACGATCCCTGGCTCTGTCCCAGCACCCATCTGGGACCCAGCTTCACACAAAGCCACCACCTGTGTCACACCTGCAGGGCTGCTCTGCCGCTCCATCCTCTGGTTAATTAGGGGCTCATTAGCATGGATCCAGGCGACCTTCAGCCCTTGAGTGTATGTATCATGGCTGCTCCACCAAATTTGAGCTGCCCACCAGCCATGGGAGGGATTTAGCCTGAGCGAAGTGGCAAGGGCAAACGCAGCCCCTGTTAAACGATTGTGGTTTTGGGGTGTTCCATCACTGCCCACGCTGGCTCCAACCCCGACCCGCAGCCCAGCTCTGCCGGGAGCAGCCAGGCAGGGGGGTGCATGCGGGAGCCCCAATCACCCACCCTGTTTAATTGTGTGCGACCTCTGCCTGCACAGCAGCGGCAGGGAGATTCGCACGTGCTCACCCTGCAGTGATTTGCATAATGGATGGAAATAAATATCCTCTCCCCGTCACCGTAACCCAGATAGATGGGTCCTCTTGGAAGATTTGTTTGCCAATAAACACGCCAAAACGATCATCTCGGCTTGTTCCCAGAGACCGCTCGGCGCCGTAAATTCCTGCCCAAGTTGCTACAAGATGCTCGTGGGCACCGCTCGCCTTTGGCTCAGCAGCCAGGTCCTGGGGGCTGCCACAGCCCCTCTCCTGGGGACGATCCCAAGCCCTGGGCATGGATTTGATGCTTTTTTCCCCTAAATATTTGCTGGTCTGTTCGACCGCGAGTGCTGCTGCCTCTGTTCCCAGGGGCTATTTTTTGGCTGTGCTTGGAAATATTGAACAACTCTCGTGCTGGACATGATCGCCTCAAATCCTGGTCCTGAGGCTCCCCGCAGCATTTCCTGCAGCCACCGAGCAGCCCTGGCTGCAGCACCGGCATCCCAGCTGGGATAGGAAAGCAAAAGCTGCCAGTGTTGTGGTTTCTCTCTGTTCCAGATTTTTTGGGGGGAGAAAGAAAACCAACACGTCCTCTGTTGGTTTTCTTGAACTAAAAATAGAATTTTTTTAGTAAAAATACCAGTTAAATGCCTAACATTTCTGTGTGCTCTGCTTAGATCCCTCGCAGATATATCTCTCTCTAGCAGAAGGGCTGCGGAGGATACAGGTGGTTTTTACTGAAAACATCCCACTTTGGTTGACGGCAAAGATTTCATGATTTCATGTGGGATTTCATCCCACCTGGCTCCTCATAGCCTGGGGAGGGAGAACTTGGCCAGGCTGGGTTCTGCCCCGCAGCCGGCTCCTGCAGCAACAGGGATGCACCGAAGGAGACAACGACCCTGCGGGTGTCTTGGGGTCCTGGTCACCCTCGAAATGACTGTGCTGGCAGGGCAGAGCTGCTCAGGTTTTCTTCCCTGCACTGGCATTATAAGCCGTCCTTTAGGCCGTTTGGGGTTGTATAATAAATGGAGAATATAAAGAAAAGACAAACAGCACCTGGGGGAGTGGTTCTGCTGCTGCTGCTGGTTTCCATTTCCACACCTCTCAGTCATGTTCCCAATTGCATCCCGCAGCTGAGCACCCCATGAGGTCTGCAGGGAGCCCCCGTGCTGGATCCCCCCCACTGCACTGGGTATCCCAAAGGGCTGTGACTCCCACGGGGCCGTGCTGTGCCCGGGCTCCTTGAGCAGCAAGGTTTGGGACGTGGCTCTGGCATTGCCACCACCTCCCAGCATGAGAAGGTAGCGGGGAAGCTGAGCCCTACCATGAGTAGAGCTCCACGCAGAGATGCCCCCAGCCCTGCTGGCGGCTGCTGCACCTCCACGTGGGGCTGGGACCCCCGCAGCCAGCTTTGAGGGCAAGAAGGGCAGGGAGAAAAGCAGCAGCACGAGCTGCAGGCTGAGCCACGGGCAGCATCAGTGCAAGCCTGGCTCCAGCAGGCAGAGGGATGCTAAAGCACCCCGGTGTCCTCCAGGTGCAAACAGGAACCCAAATCCAGCACCCGGTCCTGCCAAAGTTTACCCAAGAGCCTCCTAATACCTCTTTATTCCCTCCTTGCAACCCAAAGGATGCATTCCCAGGCCCTTCTGCAAACCCAGCGGCCGGTGCAGGTCTGGCCGGGCACCCCCTGCAGCAGAGCCCAGAGCCCACAGAGCCGGGGCTGCGTTAGCGGGGGGCTGCTGCGCCCCTAATGAGCGGGCAGCTGAGCGCAGGCTGTCGTCTCCCGAGTGCCGCATTTCCATTTGAAAAAGCCAGCGATATTGAAAAAGAATGGCTTTCCACGAACAATGTGTCTTGTGTACATCAAAGCACTTATCTTCACAGCTTCCTCCCATCTCCATGAATGAATAATGTGACCCTGATTTAATTTCCTCCTAATATTTCCTCCATAATTTGCGTGTCATCTGTTTTCTTTCTTTCCATGAAAAAAAAAAAAAAAAAAAAAAAAAAGCAAAGGGCTGCAGGTCCAGAGGCAGGGTGGTGGGTTGTGAGCAGAGCAAGTGACAAAATGTTCAGCCCTTCCCCACCCGCTCACAAATTAAGTTATCTGCTTGCCTTCTAGGGAAGCAGCTTGACATGGTATATTGACCTTTTTAATCTAAAATTGATTCTTCGCAAAACTCCACCTGGTCGAGAGCCAGGCAGGATCTCAGCACCATTGTGTTGGTTTTATCGCTTTCATTATTTTACATCAGTGCGTTTTGCCTTTCTCTCTTATTTACTTGAGCCTTCGCACCCTCGCAGTGACGGGGAGGGCTGAGCTGAGCGCACTGCACTGGCAATTGCCAGCGAGATGCTACGAGGTGGTTGGGGCCTCATCATTTTTGATCCACAGGGTGAAACAGGTCCCTCTGCCCAGGTTCCTCCTTTGCTTAAATCCAGGAGCAGTTCCTGTGTTTCAAACACCCACCAGCTCAGCCTGCTTTCAGACATCCCTCCTGGGCCCCCTGCTTAAGGGCTTTGCTTTGTGAGCCCACCGAATTTTTGCAGCATGTATTTTGCATTAACAGAAGCCAAGTGTTTTCTACAAACCCCATCCTTTGGCCACAAACGAGCCTCCCTGAATGCTCCTGAAAGCACGTGCCAGCACACTGCACCAGGACAGAGAGAAACTCACACCACAGAGGATGACAAAAAAGCTCCAGGAGTAGAAGCAGGCTGGTCGCAGCAGTGCATGGTCTGGCTGGGCCCTTCCAAAACTTTGGATGGGTTGGGTTAGACCATGGCCAGACCCACACACACACACACACACACAAATGCTCCTGCAAGGCTGTGGCCCATCAGATCCAGCACAGAGCTGCTCTGGTGTCTAAGCGTGCTCAGGGCTGCTTTAGTAGATGCTTTGCTATAAAAATCGGGACTGAGGTTTACAAAAGCATGGAACCGAAAAGCAGTGAAGTGTTCCTAAGTCCTCCTGCTGGGTGGCATGTCTGGGGGAGGTTTCTCACACGCTGGAAAAGCACCATCCCAGTTTTTTCTCGGCAGATTTGCAGTCTCCGCTCCCCCAGAAGGTGTGCTGTGGAGAAAGAACAAAGACAAGCAGGGTGGATGGCTGTTAGGGGCCATACCCTGCCAGCTCTCCCCGCACCCACCTTCTTGCCCAAATCTTCCAGATTTGAGCCCCGTGGGAGCAGAGGCACAAAGCCAGATGGCTGCTGTCTGTCCAGGCAGAGGTCGCTCCCAGCCCTGGGAAGCCATGTGTGACCAGGGCTCTGCTGGGGGTTTCACGGGGGCTTTGCTCCCAGGGCTGAGCATCTGGCAACCCTGCAAGCCCAGGCGCTGCCCCGGCACAGCCACCCCAGCGTGCCCCCAGAGGAGGTGGCTGTGGGGTCCCTGTGCTCCGTGGCCGGACACCACCCACCTGCAGACCACAAGGGACACAGGCTGAGGCAGAGCCGGGGGATGCGGATCCCCAATCCTCCATCCCTTTCCATTTCCAATTTCCAAACCGGGATCTAACCCTGCAGGTCTCCCCCCCCACCCCCCTACCTCAACCTTCCGCCCGGAGGACCCAATCCAACAAAACCCCGCAATTAAAACCCCAAACTCCTGCCCGCTACCGACAGCCCGGCTCGAACGGGAGCCGCGCCCGCCGCCGGTCTGCGGGGAGGCGGCCGCGCTCCCACCGCCCCCGGCCCCCCGGAAGCCGCGAAGGGCTCGTTGCGGGGGCGTCGTGCCCGGCCGCACCGCCCCCCGCCCGGCCGCGCCGCCCGCCGGGCCCCGCTGGGAGCGCGGGGGGCCTCGCCCCGGTGGCCGCGTCCAGCCCTGCCCGCCGCGCCCCCCCCCCAATCCCCCCTCCACGACCCCACCCGCCGCCGCCGCCGCCTCCTCCCCGCCCGCCCCCGGGGCGCGGAGCGCGGCTGTGCGGGAGAGACAATAGAGAGAGGGGCCGGGCGGGCTCCGCGCAAAACTGCGCGCCCCGGGGATGGATGGAGAGGTGTGCGCGACCCCCGGGCCCCTGCGCCGGGGGATGGGGTTGTAGCGGGGAAACGGGGAGAGGGGCTCCGGGGAGGAAGGCGGGGAAGGGGGGCGATGCCCCTTGCTGAGCGCAGCCCGCCTCTGTGCTAACCTGGCAGGGTGCGGGAGGCGGCAGGGCTGCTGTGAGGAAAGTGCCCGGGCTGGCCGGAGGTTGGAGAGCGGGACATGTTGCTGGTGCCCCCCTGATGGTCGCCGGGTGGCGGTTCTGCTGGTGAGAAGCTGGAGGAAGGCGACGCGCAGCCACGGTGGGGGAAATCCGAGGCTCCGGCTAGGAAACCATGGGGAGATGCAATGGGAGATGTACGCTGGTTGGATTCTGCTGCCTGCAGCTGGTAAGCCGAGGGGCCGTGTGCTCATCAGCATGCCGGGGTGTGCTTTGTGCGAAATGCTCGCTGTCACCGCTACCCGCTCCGTCTCGGCGGTGACCTTGCTGTGGGACCAGCTTGGGGATGCTTCAATGCGACCCAAAAAAAAAAAAAAAAAAGGCAAAGAGAAAAGAAATGTGAGCCTCCTCCCCTGCTTCAATCCAGTGCTTGCTGGAGTTGCAGAAGAGGAGACGGATTTGAAACAGTTCCCAGTGCTGTCAGTGCCTGGGGATGTGTCTTGAGCAGGTGTGAGCTTTGTTTCCAGCTGCAATCTCTTCTCTCCGAGTTAGCTGCTGCGGGTGGCTTCCCATCCTGTGCTCAGCAGCTCCAGGGATGGTTCTTGGGGCGCGGGTCCCTTGCCTGAGATTTGGCAATAGTGAAACTTGGAGCCACAGCCGGCACTTTGCAAACTCCTGCTTTTGAGTGGGACCGGTCTGCTCGCGGGCTGGGGACACTCACGCGTTGGGGGAAGAGAGGACAGACAAGGTTCATTTGAATGGGATCGGGGATATTTGCAATAATTGTGTGTCGTGCTTTCCACCGCCCGCGAATCCATCTTCATCAGGCTGGTGACAGAGGGCCAGCCGAAGGGAGCATGTGGGGCGTTTGGGGGGTTTCTGATAAAACCAGCAACCACGGAGGTTGCAATTAATTATCCAGGCGCTTTTCCAGGCAGGTGGTTTGTTGAACCTGGTAGTCAAGTGGCACCCGTGGAATTACATTGTCACCATTCAGCGACTGTTGGGGGGCTCAGCATTGCAAGGGAAACAGGGAGGGAATTGCTGAAACGTTGCCTGGCCAGCCCGCGATGTCCCCATGGACTGGGGGGTGACCAGGCGGCGGGGCGCTGTGGGTAGAGGCGGTGATGTGTGTGATGGAAACGGGCTCAGTGTCTGCTCTTGCGGAGAGCTTTGGAGATGATGGTGGCATCCTGCTGACAGGCAGTTTCTTCCCAGCGTCGCTCCCATTCATTTTTTATCTTTCAGAAGGCCATGGCCGTGGAGTTGTTCTGACCTTGCAAAAGGTGGGGAGCGGCTTTTCCTGGGGCTAAGGGATGCTTCAAAGCAAATTAGTGCTGGGGGAGCGGAGCATCATGCTGCAGGAATCGCCTTCCGTGCCCTGAAACTTCCCCACTACTGTGGTTTGGTCGGTGAAGTCTTGCTTTGCGCCTCGCTTCTGTTCCCGCTTATTCAGGATAAAAATGATGGGTGTTTCCTTGTGTGCGGGAGTTTCCTGGCTTTCGGTCACTTTTTCCTTCACTGCTCAACTCAACAAGAGTCTTGTTGGCATTTATTCTGCAGGGAAATACTCCAGCTCTATAAAGAGAGGAGATTTTGATGCGTTTATTTTCGGAAATGAAACAAATCAGTGCGAGCTCCTAGGCTGGGAGAGCAGCTCCCGCACGCAACCGGGGAAACTTTGTGATGCAGCCTGAGGCTGGGCTTTCCACCCCATCCTGGCCCTGTGTGTCCTAGTGCTGCTGTGGCTAGGACAGGCTCCAAAATTGTCTCTTTTTGGTGGCCCTTCCACCCCTGGGTTCTCCCAACTCTCCCAGGTTGCACAATGCTCTCCAGGAGGGAGCCTGGGCAGAAATGCCATCCTGCTGTGGGATTAGGCCACCCTGCCTCATCCCAGCACCAGTGCAGGATGCGTGCTGCTGCTCAGGGCTCTGGGCAGGCTGAGGACCACGTGCGTGCTCCAGCTGGAGCTCCCCGAGGTGGTGGTGGCCACCACAGCACCCAGCCAGCCTCGTCGCTGGCTCTGGGCTACAAGAAGACAGCAGCTTGAGCCCTGCTGGGCATGGGGAGGTGCCCCCGAGCACCCAGTGCTGAGGGGTGGCAGCAAGGTGGGGCCACGTTTATGTGGGGTTGGGGCTTGCAGCGGTGGCACAAGTCCTGGTCTCCTGGGGAGGAGAGGAGCCTGGAGGCCACTGCACGGCAGAGGATGCTCCTCTGGGCAGGCTGCCCATGTGGTGGCACCCGAACCAGGCCAGGGACTGGTTTGCTGCCCACAAACTTCTGCCCAGCCCTGTGGCCATGAGCTGTGGCACCCCAGGCAGTGCATCCCAGCCCCTGTGATCACCCAGATATAGCAAATGCTCCTTCACCGCCGCCTCGAAGCACGCGGTGAGCCAGGGCTGCAAGTGCCGGGTGTTTCCACTCCTGGGAGAGAAGAAATGCCAGCCATAGTTTGCCTCTATTCGCGATTTTCCAAGGAAAAGGCTAAGAAACCAGTGAGTCATTTACCAGACACGCAACGACTCAGCCTCAAGAGGGGCTGGCTGGAGATATTTATGATTATGAGATGAAATGAAATCAAAACTCTCTTTTTACGCCAACTATCCAGGAACAAGAGGCCACTTAATGCTGCTAGCATCGGGTCAGCTCGCCACGCAGAAGGGGCTCTGCTGGGCTGGGGGCTGGGGGTTCGGCTGCTGCTGAAACCAGCCGCTCCCTGGGCCGCCCGATGTTGTCGGGGGAATTTATGTTTTCTTTATGCGAGCAGTAAAGCTGCTGAGCTGGCCAGATGAAAAACAAACCTGCCGTGCCCTTCGCCTCCGCCAGCACATGGGAGCTGTGAGCTGCTCTGGTTCATTCTGAAGCCTAAGGGTGGCAGCTGGAGGTGGCAGCCCCGCTGTGTCGCCCTCCTCCCGGGGCTGCTTGGGTGCAGGGTGCGGAGGCAGGGGGACGCCTCGTTGTTCGCCCCACTCCCACCACCCCTCAGCATCGCTCTGAAGTGTTTTGTTCTGTTCTTTGTTCCTCTCCTTTTCCTTTAATTGGCTGGGAAAGCAAAGCTTGGTTGATGCCTCCCGCCGGGCTGAGCCTGCCGGAGCTTGCCCAGACAGTGCTGTGCCGCGCCAGTGCCATGGTGTGCCGTGCTGTGCCATGCCGTGCCGTGCCGTGCCAAGCAGTGCTATGCCGTGCTGTGCTGTGCTGTGCCATGCCAGCGCTGGCCTCCTTCCTCCTGCAGCCTCCTGGGGCCAGAGGTGCAGGCAGAGCAGGGATGTGTCTGTCCCATCCCACCTGTCCATCCCACCGAGGGGTTTTCCTACGTGCGAGCCTCCAGGATGCGACCCACGGTAACCGAGCCTGCACGAGGAGCTGGGAGAGAAGCTAACGAGTGACCCCAGGGCGTCGGCTTAACGAAGGATGGGTGAGGGCAGCTCATGGTCCCATCCGCTGCAGTGCCCCGCTCTGCCTTGTGCCATCCCTTTGGGACACTGCAGCCAACCCTCAGTGGGGTCATCCCCACTGCACTGCGCACCCCACAGGCACACACCCACTGCTGGCACCAGCTCCATCGCCGCTGAGAGCCTCCGATGGCCACGGGCATCTTTTGTCCTTGCGTGGTTGCCATCGTGCCTGAGCCCGTGCTTGGGGCCAGCGCGAGAGCGGCGGGACCGGAGCTGCCCCCACCACCAGGGATGGGGGGAACGGAGCCCGGGCTGAACTCTGGATGTGGGTTTTCAATTACACAATTAAATGCACAATTAGGTATAATTACCAGTGCTCAGAAGCCGCGACTGTTCATAATAGGCATGTAATCTACTGCAGTCACTGTTTATACTGCTCAGCTCTGCTCCCTAATGATTATGGAAAGCTTTCACATTTGCATGGTTGCCATGGAAATTGGGTTCGGGGCTGACAGAGGCATCACGGATGGAGGACCCCACGGCTCCCCGCGCCCCTTCGCCACGGGCCGGGCATGGTGGGTGCGTGCCCAGGGGATGCTGCGAGGGCCGGGGGTGCTGCAGGACGGCGGGACCTGAAGGGGAGGGATGGGGATGTTCCAGGGTGGGCAGCACCGAGGGGATCCGGCGATGACATGTGCGTGTGTGTCCGGGCAGGTGCAGAAACCCCAACCCAACTTGTCACCAACCTGTGCGGCCACCCCGGGAGCCGAGGTAGGGAGCATGGGTGCGGGTGGCCACGGAGAAGCTTCCCAGCATGGCGAGACGTCCGCGTGCATGAGCATCCTCTGTTGTGCACACGTGTGCCTGCATTATTCATACAAAGAGCTGTGCTTGACAGTCTGCTATAAAGGTTTATTGGCATGCGTTTGGGAAGGAATGGTGTTACAGCTCTCAATTAAAACCGCTATTAAAGCGCAGTATGTCTAAATTTGCAGGGCTAGCTAATGTGCACCCAAGAGTATTAAAGGGACCGCTGGAAGATCTCTCTAAATCATTAATGCTGATCCGCAACAAAGCTGGGAGCAATGGGAACTGTTCAGAGGGCTGGAAAAAAATGTCTTGGAGAGCTGGGGTGGAGAAAAAATGACTGGGGTGAGCCAGAAAGCCGTGGGCAGCCTGGCTTGACGTGAAGACCTGCGAAAGCACAGGAAGGAGAGGCTGATGCATGATGTGATCAGCAAAGCCGAAAAGACGGT